TTAGTTAGTAAAATATTATTATTAAATGTTATACGAGCTTAAATTAACTTCTCAATTTTCATATTAAAATTTTTTATGGGAATAAAAAGTTAATAGAAATTTTTATTTTACACTTCCGATTTTACAAAATACAAAACTACTTTTCTCTTGTCTATCAATAATGAATTAACTTATTTATTTGACGTAAAAAATAATAAAGTGTAAAAATCGAAAAGAAGCAACTTTGATATAACACTAACGTTTCTACTTACTTGCGTTTTTACAAATCTAATGCCGTGTCTATCACAATCATCATCAATGTTCTCCAATTCCTCGAGTATAGCCGCACATTGCGCACAATCTTCTGGATCTGAAGAGAGACTTTGTTATTATCAAATTTTTATCGCGAATTTACGGTCACTAATCTGCTTAATCCACTAATAATAATCTATTTATATAGAGGCGAGACTAAATAACGGAATATTGCATATCGATATTGTTGATGTAAATGGTCTACTCGATACGAGGGAGAAATCTGCTAAATACAAGGCAAATACACGTAATAAAGTGTGAGTAGTACTGCGGCAAAGGTCGGACGATCATCTACGATCTACATGTGTAATGCTTGAACTCTCAGCGATATTAGAGCATCTGTCTCGTCGACGAAATAAGCGAGAGAGAATTTTGCATGCTCATCGGGATCTGTAGGTCACTACTGCTTGGCTGCTTGTGTTCTGTTCTCATGTCGCATGCTTTGCTCTCGTGCACGTGCACCTGTGTAACTGTGTAATTGTACATAAAGAATATATTAGAGAGAAAGAGAGAGAGAAAGAAAAGACAGAGAAAAGAATACGTTGTTTCTTTTCTAGGAGAAAGCACCCTACAAATGTTTAGCCTAGAAAGTGGCCTAGAAAGATTCTACGTCCACAATTGTTCTCATTAGCTATAAAACAAGAATAATTGGGGGAACACTGATGGTTAAAAGAGAATAATATTCTGATATTTTCATAATTAAACATTTAAAAAATTTACTTTTATATTTAGTCGGTATATTTAAAGTACACAAAGTTATCTTGTCGATCATCAGTGTTCTTTTATCTTTAATCTTTCTTACGAAAAAAGCGCATGCACTACGATAGCACGCATTACATTTCAAAGCTTTTCCGGATTCCGGCAAAGCTCGCGTATATTGCGTACCGATAAATCGCACGTGATTATACACGGAGAAAATAGTTTTTCGGTTCAGTATATTTTATGAGAATATCGTCAGTTATTAAACAGATAGCGAAAGGATTTATTAAGAATGTTAATTTTATTTACTAAACACAGTTGTATAACACTTATTAATTATTTTGCTATAATTGATTAATTCTTCTTTTACTATCAAAGTAGGAAGTTTGATTATAATGACAAAATGCATCAGTCTTCTGTTTAAAAATATGTAGTCAACTGTTTTTTCGTTAAAACAAACAAATTTATGCTTTTACAAGCAAATTTACCAAATAAACTAGGTTTTGTAATATCAAAGAACAAAATGTGCTTTTACACATATCGAATAATCCGACGGTTGATTTTTTTCTCCGTATATGTTTTGTGCATGTGCTAGGACTAAACCTCGGTTATCTATGATCGAGATAACTGAAACGTAGTCTATACATATGTAAATCATAGAAAAGTGGAAAGAGGAGAAATAGAGAGATGTAGGAAGAGAGAAAAAGAGACGTAGACAGCAAGGAATCTCAAGGCATCGATAAATTTTGATCTTGCTTTGATCTGTTGTACCATCGAGGTGCTCGGTCGCCTCTGCATGTTCCGCGGTCCTGTGCTCCCTGTGGCGCTGCTTGCGGTACGTTTTTGATTGGCACATGTCGCAAAGCGTTCTGTTCCCTACGGCATCAGTACACAAAGTGTACAGCATCGGAGCGAAAGTCGACAGCGATAGATACATAATAGAAAGAATTAGGAGAAAGAGAGTGAGAGAGAGAGAGAGACCAAGACAAATAATCCTTTTGTTAGGGATAGTTAGTGACTCCTTCATTACAATCGTAATTATACGAAGATTAATTATATAAAGATTAATAACGTGAGGAAATAGAAAGAAAGAAAAATCACAAGTTTAGGAAGATGTATCGCGAAATCAATATCCCTTCGACATTCCGCAAAGTCGCTCTTTTACGAAAAATCTTCCTGACGAAATGCAGTTTTTTATCCAATCTCGCTGTTTACAGGGAACATATGTGAAACAAACTAGCGCTGTCAGTTATCACTGTCAAAAAATGTTGGTTAACACGATAATCACATATAAATTAATAACGTAATTAAAATCAAGTAAATAAAGGAAGAAAATAGAATGCGCGAAGCTATTAACAATAGCTTTCTGGTCATTTATCATGAAGTTATTCGGGACATTCAGAAACTTACAGAAGTATACGGCTAAAGATTCCGATTCTCGTATCAAATTTAATAGATCCTCGCCTTCCAGAGCCTCGATTGCCTCACCCGAAGGATCCTTTTGCGTCATCAACCATTGCAAAATCTGTTCCTCGTCGTACAGATCACCTGTTAAAACAACCTTTTTAATTTTCATCAATCTCACTTCGGAAATTCGTGTGGTTCGTCTTGTACCTGCATATATAACTGGTTCCTTCGAACCCATCTTGAAGAACAGTATAGCAGGTAAGGCGAAAACACCATATTGCTTAGACAATTGTTTGTCATCGATTTTGACAAATTTAATACCGGCATTGTCAGCTTCGTCGTCGATATGTTCAATTTCCGCCAATACTCGGCCACACTGTTTGCAGTCGTTGCTGTCTAAACAAACGCGCAACATATTAGAAATGATAAAAGCAGTCATAATTGTCCTTATTACATATAGTATTACATTGATTAATATATATTGACACTCACAAAAAAATACAGCTAAATAATCGGTCGTCTGTCGGACTTTCTGAAACATCTTCTTGTTGATACGCTCTATGTGGTCGGTGAGCTCCATATTTTCCGGGTTGGTCAACCAGTCGAGGATTTCTTCCTCGTCGTCGATATCGCCATCGTAATTAATGTTCTTACCCTTGCGGAAGTAAGTAATGCCGGGTGGGTTTCGAAAACCGTATTTCTTCGCCATTAACCGATCCTTCATCCTCACGATTTTTATTCCGTATTCCGCTGCCTCGTCGTCAATCAATTCGATATGCCTAAGCACCCTGGGACTCTCTGGATCTTCCTCTTTGTCTGAATATTTTTCGTTACGTAATGGTCGTAATGTATAAAATCGTACGTGAATATAAACTTATAATATCTCCTACTGATTATTCTGATTGCAATATAAACATTTTGTTCTAAGTTTGTTAAGTGCATAATGATAAAATAGTATTCAATTGTCTAAAATCAGGTTTCTTGAAAATCAAACGTGAGGTAAAAAATTTTTAATCTACACTTTCGATTCATTTCTTCGTATAAAATTCATTAAAAACGAAACATCTTATTAAAAAAATGATAGATTATATACCTAAAATAAAAATAAATAAAATAAAAGAATTAAGTTTTCTTATTGCTTGCTATTCTTATGTGAAATACGTTGATTTGAAATTGCTTCTTACAGAATATGACAGCGAGAAATTCTTTTGTCTCGATGTATTTGAAGAGAGTCTCACGGTCGATTTCTTCAATGCTCTCATCAGTTTTCTGTTTCACCATCCATTCGAGTACTTCAGTTTCGTCGAGAAGATTACCTAAATGTTATACATGGCCTAGTTGACAATACGTCATTTATACTTGTTCAATATTTGACTTATCAAAATTGAATTAATGCTGAAACAAATAGTATCTTCTCCGAAATTCGAGAAAAAATTCTAAAATTCTAACATAAGCTATTTAGATATTTTCTTTAACACTATTAAGAAAAATACAACAAAGCTCTATAAATTATCCAAAACTACAACTTTTATTGCACAAATATGTACGGGATGTTTTATAAAACGCGGATATAAATTCTAAATTTTTTAAATTTAACCCTAATAATGAGAAATGTTGTTAAAACAAACACTTATTTTATTTTGTTTCGAGTTTTATTTAATGTGTCTCTATATCTTTCATTACAAATTAATTGTAAACTAGCATTGATTTTACTCTATCTTACATTTTATTTACCATATGTTAGTTATTCAATAATTTAAACTTTAATATTCTGTAAATTATTTCCTAAACGAAAACAATATGTAGTAAAAAATTAACAGTTTTATGGTAGTTTATCTTTAAAATGATAATGACAAATTCAATATAGAGTATTATTAAATATGTATTTTTCAGAATATTTACAAGCAAAATTGTATATTGAAGCCTAAGATCTCTATTTTGTAAAGGATTTTTCTGAAAACTGATTTCAACAATATTATGCTAGTTTACAATTAACTCTAAATATAGGAAGTATTTAGATCTATCATAATAATTTATTTTACTAAAAACATATACAATAATATTTTGATACATCAATAATTTATTTTTATGTTGACGTTGTTCTGGAATGGCTATTCATTTCGGTTTTTTATAAACTGTTTTACTGCAGAAATATGAAAATTTTTATAATGACAAAGTTGTATACTTTTCTAATGTAATTTTATCACCACATAAAATTAAAAAAATTGCAAATTACTTGTTAAGGGATTGTATTTTTTTAAGGATAGTAATCTTTAACAAATTAAGTTAAAGCATTTAAACTTATTTAGAGATTATCGGAAAAAATAATTAAAAACTGAACTTTATTTTTAAATTTTATTATTTAGTATTAAAATATATTTTACTATTCAAGATAAATATTTATCTTTCCGTCATTTTCCTGCATTAGTTCGTATATAATCATAATATTGTATTAATGATTTTCATGAATTAATCATTCAGGAAATGATATGATGAATTCGACATTTCTGATAAAAGTCATTATTGTATCGTGCAGACGTACAATACAATAAAAGAGTTTATATCATTATTAGAGCGATGATGGATAAAGCAAATACAGGGGATATTAGGAAATGTGTATTTATTGTTATCGTATAATATCGACTTTTATTATCGTACATGCTGCTCTTATGCGAATAACACGGATTTATTGACTCGCACGCAACGTTCACGAGCAATAATTCATGACGTCTGATAATCGTGATCACAGATACAGTGAGACAAAAAGTTTCGTTCATTGATGATGCGACGAATTTTTCTAAAGTATCTAAAATGATCAACTTTACGGTCTTAGATCGCGATACAATATTACGCGAATCCCGCCTGTAATATTATATGACAATTTTAAGAGTGATGACACATTTGTATCTTGCGCAGATTATTAGATACAGAGCGAGAAAATGAATATATATAAGAGAAAGTATTTTAATTACAAATAAATAAATAAATAAATAAATAAATAAATAGATGCTATTATTATAGTGTTTACCGCGCGTTTTAATCGCAGTTTTTCGAAAGCCTATTCTTCATTTTATGGTTCATACAGCCAGCATGAACCTAAGCTAGATAAACTTTAAAAATGTTGAATGTAACAAAACACATATCGAGTGAATCTCAACATATCGCAAAAAAAGCAGAAATTTATGCCGGAATTAAAAATAATTTTTAAGTAAGAAACTCAATACATACAATTACTTTATAACTCTTAAGATTTTATTTGTATGTATGCATTTTTGTATTTTATTTTGTATATCATTTAATTCCGAAAGTACATAAATCCCGAAATTTCAAGAATAAGATTGCGATATAGATGATAATTTCAGTAACTGTTATGAATATTTTAAAACTATGGCAATTTTTTATTGACATTGTCAAAATTGTTAAAATGATATTCATGACGATTCTGATTTTTTCCCGTTTTAAAACAGAAAACTGATATAAACACACTGTAGGAACTCCATGTATTAAGAAATCTCGTTATAAATAAAATTATAGGCAAGACATTTGTTCATAGCTTTGCACTAACTCTGGGTCTCAGCCATTTCATTCTTGAGATCTCTTTAGTCTTATAAATATAATGTTGAAGAGGAAAGTTAGCTCGAGGATCAGTAGGCTTTATTGGGATAGAAGAGAAAGCATACAGAGATCGATAAAACGGAGGCTCCAGAATGAAAGGGTTTAGTTACAAACGATTAATCTCTCTCACGTTAAATTAAACGCTAGAGCGCGTACCGCAAAATCTAGGTAGAACACTATCGATAGTCTCGGCAACAGCGACTGTTTACACTTCCTTTTCTCTATTACTAGAAAGTCCTACCCATTACTGCGTGCGAATGTTATATCGATGAAATGCAACAAATCGGCGGTATCGCTCTTCGTGACGTTAACGGGTTAACGAGTAAAACAAAACCGATAAACAATATTCAGCGTTAGACGGCGGTCGGATGTTAAGGATCGAGATTCTACATAAGAAATGCATACGTTACGAGAATAATTCTGTTTATCGCGTGACCATCGGCAGGCATCGAACTGACATGCTGTCGAATATTACTCTTCTCGAATATTTTTAGTATCGTATACGCACAGCCGATGCCGAATTAATTCTCTTAATATCCTTTTATCGATCGTAGGATGCGTTTACATCTAGGCTCCTTACATACGTAATATTAACAGAAACATTAAAATCGCTCGCGGATGTTCATTTACTTTTTGCGCATGACAGACGGATGAACACATCGAGAAGAAAGATGACGATGTCATTTACGACTACAGCGATGAAGATGACATTGTATTATGATACTGATGACGATGACGCTGACGGTAATAACACAATAATGACGACAAGTGAATTCGACGGCGAACACGATGATGGGACTTCATGGGATACTATTGTTGATAATTGATAAATGATGACAACAATGCGTTGAATAGTAACGACATATTTCGTTCCTTTAAGAAACATAAAATCTTTACTCGCTCAGCGGCGAAATTTATCTTGTTCGTGCTGTTAGCATATGATAACATAGAGCACCTGACTTCTTCCGTCATTGCGCGAAATTTCTGTCGCGCGAATTGCCTTCGTTCGACCATCGTCCTGCGAGTCCTTTTTCTTCATTCCCTAATCGCCGTTCACAGCTCGACCTCGCGCGTCCAGACGCCGATGTACGTGTCGGGCATTTAGACCTTCATGAGGTACGGTATTCCAGCCACAACTGCAACAACCCACAACCCCGACCCAACTCTCAGTGAGAGGACAGAAAAATTCATTCTCACTATTTTTTTGCGCCTTTATGTATTAAATACACTGTCGTCTGTCCTCTTCCATAACGATGTACGTTCAAGGGGATTCTTGGGGTCCGAATTCAAAGCAGATATTTTGGATCGATCAATGCATAGCTCGTAGGAAATTATATATTTACGGACGAAGGTTTTACAAACGTTAGGAGCTAGGCTGATTTACGAATTGCTTTTTTTTTTAAACATATCGCCGAGACGAAGATTGTCCAAAAATTATTTTATTGGCGATAACTCATAAATGTATATGTACATGAAATCGTTTATCCTCAGGGGAGAAAGTAACTCTTCGTAATTCGTGAATAACCCCAGCTCCATCACCGCCGCGCTGAATTATTACACGATAAGAGATTACGCTCTGCGAATGATTCGGCCGAATCATTGATCATTCGATGGTAATAAATTGCCCGATAAATAAATGAATCGGCGCGATCAAGAAATCAGTGCTCGTTATTCTGACGACTCGAAGACTCGGAGAATCCAGCCGGTGCCGGTGCCAGAGCCGCGTGGAAGTCACGTGTCGAATCTTCGATCGTCTTGTTCGTCCGGAAGTTGTGCGTCGTTGACGCTCTTCATGGACCGCGCGTGACCCGCGAAGTACCTGCATCCGAGATACGAGGACGAAAAGTCAGGTGACCGTGATCTTACTTCCGCTGCAGCGAACCTTTTCGCGCCGGGTGGCTCGGCCTCAGAAAATCTATCTTCGAGCTCACTATTTCCTTTCCTGTTGTGCTAAGCATTTATCGCGTTCACCGCTCGCTATTCTTTTCCCAAAAGAAGACAACGTGTTAAATCGCTACCCACAGCGCAGACGATCTACCGCTTGATCATTCTTATTTTTCGATTCGAGTTTAATTCATTTGCGCGTTTGCTGTCCGATTTGGTTTTTATTCCGAAGAAATCGGCTCGATGGTTGTCGTGTCGATGAAAATTTGTTCTCCTCAGTGGATGTTTATGTTTAGTTTGCCGAAGAGGCGATGGACCGTACGCGTGGGCAGCTATTTAACTTCGCGGCCGGTTGGAATATTTACCGCTTCCAAAAAATCCCCTTTTGGCCTTGGACTTGGATTCCTTTGTGTCGCTGTCGATTTTCGATGATATCGTTGCCGATTTTTTACTCTCCTTGGCCGTGAGCTTGTTTATCGGCTTCAAAGCCGGCAGTAGTGGCTTATCCGTTCTGCCGGTATCTCGAAATTTGCTCTTGTCCTTAGTAACCGGGCCGATTTTGGTGACCTTGGCGACCTTGGTGCCGTGGGCGAGCTTGGTGGGACAGCACTGGTAGGGCTCATAGGAGGGAATCTTGGGTTTCGCGCTTTTACCTCCCATCCCGATGTAGAAACAGCCGTCGCCTGCAGTAAGCAAATATACAACGAGTCAGATACAAAGAGAATGAGAGAGATTTGTAAGAATTGGCTAGCCTATTGAATGGTCTTGTCGCACAAGTCAATCTGGATCAAATGATAAAAATAAATGGAGCACGGATAAAATTGATCGAATATAAGGGAACAAGAATGGCAAAAAGAGAAGGGAGAGAAAAAAGATAAATGAACGAGACATTGGAAACAAATAAGAAAGAGAGAATTAAGGAGAAACCAAAATATATTGACTCGTGCGATCTCGACGTTGCTAGCGCATAGAGAACGTTCCACTGCAATCCCAATTGCTTAGCAAAAAGCCAAACGTGCATGTTTTTAATAGACAATGTTTTAATAGAGAATTCTCGCGGCGAGTCGACGACTCTTTCTGGATAGCCGTTGAACCAGCCTCTTCTTCGTGGCTTCTATATACGTTCAATAGCGATTCCCGTATTGTTTATCTAATACCGAGTATGAGATGCATATGCTCGTAACGAGAAGAAATATTGATTTGCTACGATACTTTGCAATATATCACATTAATCCGAAAATGTTTATATTTTCTCTTTTTAAACGGAGACTAGTCCGATTCTTTTCGACTCGTAATTCGCTGCAGACGACAGCTGTCAACAGAAACCATCGGCTCGCTTCGGAGAAGCTCGTATTTCAATTGGTAAAAATGCGAACAAGAAAGACTGGAGCTACGCACTGTAAATTTCTCGGTATCTACATTTTTTCATAAGAGCAAATCGAACATGAACATTTCCTTATGTGAATAAAATATGATGTATAGCTATTAAATTAATATGGAACATTATTACTCGAAAGTATTTAAAAAATTTCCTTTGGAAATTGTTACGAAATGAAAAGAATTCATAACAACGGCCTGATTGCGTAGCTCCGCTAAAGAAGGATTGTTATAAGGCGGACATGCATTACGTGAGAAAGTTGAGGAACTTTGAGGAAACTCTGACGACCGAATGGAAAGGAATCCAGGCATATGGATGCACTTTGCTAGTGTAAGTAAAAAAATATGGTAACAATAAGTGCATGCAGATATGGTCCTACACCGCCCAGCTCTACCGTGAATGGTGAGTGAACAGCCAAGTTTCATCTAAATTACGTTGTTATAGTCTATACCAATGGATCTATTGGTATGCATTTCTCTACTGCTTTAGGATATCATTGTATAGTTTCTGTCTTTCGCGCAACACAAAGCCCGTCACACTTCGATCTCACGTGAGCTCCTCTTCGGCCTCCTGGGTTGTCGTTGGGCCTTTACCTTTGTCCAGGATTTTCTTCAGAACTTTGTTCAATTTATTATTATCTTGGCTATCTTCGTTGTTATAATCATCATCATCATCGTCATCGTCATCATCATCATCATCATCATCATCATCATCACCATCATCATCGTCATCGTCATCGTCATCGTCGTCGTCGTCGTCGTCGTCGTCGTCGTCATCGTTGTCATTATCATTATCGTCGTCGTCTTCGTCGTCATTATCGTCGTCGTCGTCATCATCATCATCATCATCCTCATCATCCTCATCATCGTCATTATCGTCATCATCATCATCATCATCATCATCATCATCATCATCATCATCATCATCATCATCATCATCATTATCATCATCATCATCGTCATCATTATCATCATCATCATCATCATCATCATCATCATCATTACCTGCATATTAACGGATTATGGATAATATATAGCGCGATCGGAAACCGAATTGTGTACCTAGGTTTTTTGTGATCGATATTGGCCTCGGTCCAAAGGGATATGACATGCATAAAAAAATTTTTTAATGACAAACATTATAGACGCATCACATTAAACATTCCCGCAATTCTGTTACATACGCAATATATTGTTATATTTGATTACGTAAAAAAGAAAAAATCTGATAATTTTCCCACTTTCTACATCGTGTAACATTTATAGTTTACGCGTTTATTTATCACACGAAGATGTGAAGACAGGCTAAGGTAATCAAATAATAATCTAACAATGTGGGCATGTGTTGTGAAGCAATCGTTATGAAACTTATGAAAAATTACAAGTGGGATTATTATAGTTACGTGATTTAAAGATAATAATATAAATATATTAACTAACAATGATACTGATACTAAATATTGCCAAACGTAACGATAATTTCTCACGAAATTATCTACAATATATATTTTTACATTCTTTTGTATCACACTTTTTTTCTTCTAATCTTTGCAATAAGAATAGGTTTCTTGCAACTTTAACTTCATATTAATTTAAATCACGAAAGCTTCGTTAAACGCGTCCAAAAAGAAGTAAAAAAGAAGGAGAAGAAGAAAAACAGCCGTTAGTGCATCGAAAGCTGCAAAATCTAAAGCTTCAAATATTTGAGCAATTTATAGTCGTTATTCATCATTCAACGGTGACGCGCCGTGATGTTTTCTTTCGCGAAATAGACTCGAGAAGAATTTGCACGACGCATCACCGGCAACATGTGATGCGTTTCGCATTATTGCGTCGACTGCAACTACATATCAGTATGTAACGAAACAGCGAGTAAAAAAAGGCAAAGTAAGTAAGATAAGCTTGCGAGTGTAATTTAAATGCATTGTACCGTAATTGAGAATATAATATGGCCAGCGTGCATGTTGAAAATCGCGTTTCACCGAGCTTCGTGACGTCCTACATTTTGGATCAAACTCTTTTTTTTAACCAGTACGCGAACCGAGACAACGGGCCGTCAATAAACGAATACAGAAAATCCCCTTAGATTCGACGGACGTTTCGTTCGTTTTTTCCTTCTTTTTCGTTTATTATGACTGCGATCATGGCGATCGTGGTGGTGGTAGCGTGATCGGGGTGATCACCACGGCGTGAGTGTTGTACTCGTAGCCCGGTGGTATAGTCACGACCGAGATTAACGTCACAAAGAACAGTACACCAGTAATAATAATCATCATCCTAGAAATCGCCTTACTTTTCTGTTCGATTAGCCATTCCAGAACTCTGTCCTCGTTCTTAAGATTACCTACAAAAGGCACACACGCGTATCAGGATCAGCTAGCTTCGATAACGCACCGTGATCATTGTCGATGTCATATTTCGCGTTATCGCTTTATCGACGTGGAAATTGCTGAAAGGAACATGCTAAGTCACTCTTCATTGTGACCCTATTATGTGTCTCAATATATTTGAATTTTATAGTACTTTGAATTGATATAATTTTCAAGAGAAGTTAGTAACAAGCCAGCTTTTTATTTAACCACTAAAGGATAGACTAAACCACACTGCATTGTTATTGAAATTTTATTTTATTGTAATCTCTTCGTTAATTCATGACAATTTATTTCGAGGTAGTGAAGAGTGACTTAATAAAGGGAGTACGCGCAGCATAAGGTGACTAGATCTTATTTCTCTTCCATGAAAAACGAAGATTATATAACAAGGGGGGGAGAATCAGCTTGATAATAAAAACAAAATTAAAAACTGTTGGTACTTACCGTCGTACATGATGGGGACTCCGGTCTCGTAGTAAACGAGAGCCGGGAAGGAGAAAACGCCGATTTCTGCCGCCAGTTTAGCGTCGTTCGATTTGACGAATTGAATGCCGTGTTTGTCGGTATCATCGTCAATCGTTTCCAACTCCTCGAGAATCTCCGCGCAGGATTCACATTTGTCGTCGTCTATTAAAAACCATAATTGTTTTATCATGCATAATCTCGAAGACGTACACAAAATATAAATTTACATCAGTTTTTTATTATTTCTATTCGAATAGATGCTATTTGGAATTATATAAACGTAATTTAATTACATTAATTAATTACGTCGGTTCTGAAAGAATCAAGATAAATAATATATGCATTTTCTTGTGGAAGACAAAAATAATATATTGTTGCATCCGCGCCGAGATAATCCTCGGTTTCGAGCAGAGCTGAGCTGCATATTATTATATAAAACGCCTCTCACCCCCATTTTATGAATTCTTTGACAAATTTTGAACCAATTTATCTATAAAACGTATCGAAGAAGATATAAACAATATCTATCAGATATCGATAGGCAGATAGATACAATATGTAATGTTTTATTATAAATATTTTGATTTATTTTGATTTTATTGCATCCAATATTTTCCTATAATGTTGAAATGCGCTACATATGTATAAATTTGATAGCTAAAAGTCAATACTTACAAAAGAATACGGCGAGATGCTCGACATCGTTGATCAGCACTTGTAATGTTTTTCTATCGACGCTCTCGATAACATCCGGTGTTGTTGTACGAAGCTCGAGGACCCATTCTAAGATCTCTTCCTCGTGCATCATGTCGCCCGTATAGATCTGCCGGAACTTGTGTCTATAGAATGCCAGCGCCGGTAGTCCCGGAAGATCGTATTCCTTCTCTATTCCCTCGTCGGAGATCTTTACAAAGTCGATCTCCTTCTCTTCGCACTCGTCGTCAATGTTCTCGAGCTCCTGAAGGATCTTCTGGCTCTTCTTGTCGCCTTCTTTGTCTGCAAACCAAGCATTTCCATTACATCACGATCAATCAGTCAGTTATATAGTAAGTTATAATACAGCGATGCGTTTGACATACAGAAAAAGACGACGACGTAATCGTTCTCATCGAGAATGTTCTCCAGCATTTTAGCATTGACTTCTTCAATTTTTCCTGGTATCTCCAAAGTGTCCTCGTCTGTGATCCAAGATAATACCTCGTCCTCGTCATCGAGATCGCCCGTGTAGATCAGTGGGTCCTTGTTTCGGAAAAACGCGAGAGTCGGGAAACGTTTGATACCATACTTCTTCGCTATGCTAGTGTCTTCAGTAGTAACGAATATAATGCCTGTTTCATCCAGCTCGTCATCAATATTCTCCAATTCGTCGAGGATGTTGTCGCATTCTTCTCCTTCATCGCAACTTCCACCTATCGCAATTTTTAATCGATTAGGTATGTTTGAAGCAAACAAAGAGAGTAATTAACTCGATGATATTATTGTCACGCGCCGAGACGGCCCTCGAGATCGAGCCGTATAAAGTCGCCTACTTGTAGCAAGAAGGAGACGGGCGGGCGTAACACTATTGAGAATTAACTCGATTTATTGATGAAAAATGTGTGCTTACTGAAATATACCACAACATATTCGTGCTCCTCTATAAGATCCGTCAGTATCTCGTCCGTGACTTCCTCGATGGTAGCGCTGTTCTTTTGTTCTATCAACCATTCGAGGACCTCGTCCTCATTCAGCAGATCGCCCTCGTATATCGCCGGTATTTTATCTTCGAAATACACCAGGGTCGGGAGATGATCGATACCGTATTCCTTAGCCTCGGCGTCGTTGTCTATGCGGACGATGACGATCCCCTCCTTCTCTAGATCGTCGTCTATGTTCTCCAACTCGTTCAGGATCCGCATGTCCTGTTTGTCGTCCTTGTCGTCTACGGAAAAGAATCAATTCGCTGGTCGCTCTCACTCGCGACCGTACAACAGCACCTACCTAACAAGTAACAGTGGAAGAATGTTAAAAGGAGGTAGAAAGACGAATCGATCGCTTACAAAACAGGACTGCTATGTACGGCGACGTCTCTACGAGCTTTTCGACCATTTCATCCGTTACTTCCGGGATCTCGGAGTGTTTTTTCTGATGTAACAACCAGCCCAGTATCTGGTCCTCGTTCATGAGATCGCCTGCGGAATGCAGTTGGAAGAATTTTCTCAACAATTTCTCTACTTGTGATTATCTTGTTTCCTTTTTTATGTAAATGGAAATTACTAACCATCGTAAATATGTGGTATCTTTCGTTCAAAGAGCACCAAAGTGGGAAGCGTGTCTATGCCATATTCCTTTGCTTCGTCCAGATCGCTGATCTTTACAAAGGCTATGTTGTGCTGGTCACAATCGTCGTCGATGTTCTCCAGCTCGCTCAGCACCTTCTGACTCTTCTTCTGATCTTTGTCATCTGCCGAGTGACGATAGAATCGTATCAATAATTATGTCGATGTTTATGTAAATAATTAGAGCTTATAAGAGCAGCGCGAGTGTGTTACTGACAAAAGAGAACGGCTACGTGTGGCATCTTCTCTATAACCATATCGAGCATCTCATCCGTAATGTCCTCGATCTGATCAGCCTTCTGTTGCTGCTCCAACCATTTGAGCACTTTCTCCTCATCCTCGAGATTACCCTCATATACCGTCGGAATGCCCTTCTCAAAGTAGAGCATCGCAGGTACTTTTTGAATGCCGTACTCCTTAGCTTCCTCCGCGTTATCGATCTTTACGAACGTTACGCCGAGCTGATCGCATTCATCGTCGATGTTCTCCAGTTCGTTGAGAACTTTCTGAGACTTCCGATCGTTATTGTCGTCTGCGTTATGAATACACTTTAATATCATTACACCTAATACCAATCAATTAATTCACAAACAACTTACAGAATAATACGGCTAAGGTCTTTCCATCTTTGATAAGGCGATCCAGCATCTCATCGGTGACGTCTTCAATCTCGTCCTTCTCGAGTTGCGACAACAGCCACTCCAGAATTTCGTCCTCATTTTCTACATCTCCTGCAATTGTCGTGTTATTTTGTTCTTAGATGAATTAATTTATACAAATAATTAATTTTTTTTCTTTTATTAGAGTTGTCACGATTTCGATTATTTCCGATACTATTTGGATACCATTATCATTTCGCTCGATATGTTCGATTCACCTACCCACCGTCGTAAACATTTGGGATCTGCTTTTCGAAATAGACGATCGCGGGCACATCGTCGATTCCAAATTCTTCCGCCGCCTTCTCGTCGTCGATCTTCACGAACTGAATACCGTGCTTGTCGCAGTCATCGTCGATCTTTTCTAGCTCGTTTAAGACCTGCATAGAGTCTTCGTCACCGTGATCGTCTGCAATCACGAGGGCGCATTACGAAGAGATTAAGACAAACGAGGTTGAAAGAAAAGATGCAAAAAGATACGAACAGAAAAGAACGACTAAATTGTCAATGTTTCCAATTAGCGTGTTCAACGTCTTGGCGGTGACATCTTCGATAATGTCCTCTTCATCTCCCGTACTCTTGTTCGCCACCAGCCATTCCAGCACGTCTTCTTCTCTACTCAACTCATCTAAGAGCACGTACTGCGAGTTAATTTCATCTCTGTATCTAATCCACGTAATACAACTAGAGTACAGTAAAATGTTACAACGACAAAAATTTCATCATCAGTTATTAGCCATCGAATTTTGTACATCAATGGAGTTTCACCAAGTTCTTACAAGAAATCATCCAGTTCCAGTTGTTACAAATAGAAATCAAGTATGTTTTTAAAGAAAAATGAAAATAACACATCATAAATTGTCTTTACTTTCCTCATACTTACGTTCATAAATGACTGGAATTTGGTGCCTATAGTATACAAGGGCTGGGAGAGGGCCGAGATTATACTCGTCCGCTAGCTGTTCGTCCGCGATCTTTACAAAGCCGATACCTAATTGATCGGCCTCATCGTCAATGTTCTCCAGTTCTTGCAGAGCCTTGAGACACTTTTTGCAGTCCGGCTTGTCTGTCCCATTTAAAACAAAATGATGTATTATTGCGTGCTTCTATTATTGAATAATCAATATTATTTTCGAGTCTTATTCCATTCACATATACGGCTTTTTCATACAAGATTAAAAACTTTCCTATAATTCAAATTTTATTTTGTTACTCTGTGGCTCACTGAGCACATTTAACACTGTCGATAATTATTAGACATAAAATATACACATAAAAGTCAGAAAATTTTGCTATCGCTATCAAAAAACTTGATCAAATACTTTTCTGTGTTTTTCTTTCAGAACAATGGGGAATGACCGTCATTAGATATGTTAGATTTAAATACAAATAATATTGACATTGATTGGATTAGTAGACACAATTATTTTTAAATTTTCACTCTTATACACGTTGTTCTATTCTAAACAAGGGATGAGAAATAATGCATTCTATATTCTATATCTGATTGGTACACACTTATGAATGAGAATAGAGATTGAATATTTGGCTAATACTTAGATTAATTAAGAATCACTATTCAAAGCGCTAATAAATAATGAAGAAATAAGAACGGGAAGCTTGAGATGTTAGTGTTGACTCTTTATCAATATTACACATTAAAGTCATTCTGCATTAGTCGCAAGCGCTTGGTCACAAATCCGAGGAGAATATAGGATTCTCATAGGAGAATTTTTCTAGTAAGACTCTAAAAAACGAATTCTCCTATTTGGTAGCGAAGTTGCGTTCAAGCACTTTAGACTAATGATTTTTAAATTGTTATATCGTATCCAACTGCTCTAGTTCATTAAAAATAATTTCTAAGATTTCATCGGAGTATCCATCGTATAGATATTAGAAATCGTATATGGAAAGTGAAATGCATTAATGTAAAAGTCCTTGCCGCTGCATTGACATCCGTTTCTCTTCGCGTACTCACATCCCACTGTCGTTGTACACGCACATTGGAGCGAGGTGCTGCAGGGATGACGCGATAGATACAACTCTGATAATCGACGAACACGCAGATCGACAAGTTAAGAATAAGTGTTTGGAGGAAATTGTCATATGTAAATGCGTAACAATATGTCACCAATCCGGATGATGCACTTGCAAAGATCTCGTAATTTTTGCTTCTAACATCATAAAGTAATACGGTTGCAGTAGAAAAATAGGCACTTCAAGAAAAAAATAATTTATTTCAAGCATTGCAATGGTAGAAACTGCGAGAACAGCAAAGTGATCTTCCATTAGTGCGTCAGCCGATATCGAATGCATGTAGGTCAATGTTGTGTGTATGTGTGTATTTACGTGTGTGTGTAAAAAAAGCATAGGATACAGACGCTGTGCCACAGACTTTAACCACATCTCTTGTATGTATGTACTTACTAGAACCGGTGCCTGCACACCGCTCCGTGTCTGGACCTATTCGTATCAACACACACAAGAATTTTCACATATATGTATTATTTACAAGTATATTTTGTATGTGATCGGATCGCAAATTGGATGCATATTTTTTAGCACTCGAGATTTGATTATATCTGTCAGTTTGTTAAAATTCACTTTTGTATTAATATGAAATTATCCACTTTGCGATAGGATATTTTAACTTGATGATCATTGGCACGGACAATTGACAAAAGACAAAAAAGACAAAAACAGTAGAATTGAGTGGACTTTACAGAGCTAGTACAACGCTTGACAAATTGACATAAACATTGCATTTTATACAGAGAACGATAGCTGTCGACATTAAAAAGACGTTATTTCCTATCATTTGATTTATTAGTTAAATAAGGAAATATCGCTCTTTGCATCGTTCTCTGTATATGTGAAATTAGAAACATGAAACTGTACATAGTGATATACATGTATCTAATTAAGAGTCTGTAATAACGGTAGCGAAAGATCTAAAAAGCCACCTTATTAAAAGTTTGCCATTTTATTAATTTATTATGCTTTATGGTGATCGACGTGCACATGAAGTATATTTGAAATCGCAGCGTATTTGTGGGAAAGTTAATTTCGCGATTTCCATATTTTATGTACAGAGTGACGAACAATTTTGTCGCACACGTGACATACACAATTGATTAGTAAGACGTCGGACAATAACAGATTAAACGGATAGGTACACGGATGACGGGTACATTATCAGGGTACATTACGTAGCTTTACTGTGTTTTCGTTGATCTTTCGACGTCGACTGATACAGTTACTAGCCTAGAACTTTGTTAGTTTCGAACCAGATGGGTTTCGAACCAGGGAGAATCTTACAAGATATACAATTTGAGAGAATTCGGAGGTGCCAGCTGAGACCAGTCATCCTCCGGTTTATCTACGTCTCCGCCATTAGTTAAAACATCATTCACTCGTGCACTTAAATTAGAGTTGTTCAACTATGTGCTCACGAGCGACTGCTTCGTTTCGTATTTCTCATTCACTGTCCGCGTTTCTTTTCTGCTGTTTCGATCGTAGACTCAAGTTTACGCAACAACTTTCTTAAATTGCCTCGAATACCAACTTGATACAATGTAGAATTTTCTCTTTTCACTTTGGAGACTAAACGTGTAGAAGCAACTTCGTAATCCACAAGCCATATTTTAAAACTTTAACGTTAAATAATAAAGTTTTTACATTAATTTTATTGTAAATAAAATGGCGAATATTGGAGAACGTGCCACTCCGAATGGTCGTGTGCGATCTTCTAGATATGCTTTTGACTGAGACATAATTCAATTAATATAATGAAAACAGCGACTTACAGAAGAGAACCGCCACGAAATCTGTTTCCTCGACAATCTTCGACAGAATTTTTGCATTAACTTCTTCGATACGATCTGGCAAATCCATTGCTTCTAAACTCGTAAGAAAATCCAGTACATTCTCCTCATCCATCAGGTCACCTGAGATAAAATATTACACGTACATTTCCTTTTCTAAGTTAGATGTGATAATACAAAAAGTCGTGTATATAATATATAAGATCTAGCCTTTCTTATCTTATTATGTCACAATACAATTGATTTTTGGTTATTGATTTTTTTATTGTTGTTCTCATCCACTTAATGTCACAATTTTAGCGAATTACCAATCACGATAATTATCGTATGCTCGAACAAGTAGTATTTGAGTACTAGCTTACCTTCGTATATAATTGGTTCTTTTTCGCGGAAATACGTAAGAGCCGGGAAGGTTTTGATACCATATTGCTTCGCCAGTCGTTTATCGTTGATCTTGACAAAGTCAACTCCAAAGTGGTCTGTATCGTCGTCGATTTTCTCCAATTCGGCCAGGACTTTGTCGCATGTGGTGCAACTTCGGGCATCTGTAGAGAAATTACTATTATATCTAGAAACTTAAATAATAAAACATAAAGAATTAAATGCCGATACTAGACATTGGTTAAAAATGTATACATTTCATAAGAAATTATATAGTGAAATACATTCGATAGCAAGCACAAAGTACATTTCGTTGAGATCATATGAATTAATTAGAGCGCGCATGTACTAATTTAAAAAAATACCAAACGTACAATACGAAGACGTTTGTTAAATATATTATGAGACAGGCTTCTAATATGAGATAGCAGGTTTTCAACACTCAAATTCAATCACAAATCTTTTTTCGTAACAATTACACGATCTAACAATGAATTTTCTACCAAACAGATTTCATTCCAAGAGCAATAAATTCAAGGTGGAACTAACAGATGATGTCTATTAATTTAGTTGATTTAGCAGAAACCCTACTACCTTGTATTAGGAGCCTATCTCATAATAGAGAATTTTCTTCTCTCTATATATAAATTGATAATTCAATAATTGGCAGAATGAAACTCTAGCGCTTTAAATGGACAACGACGTTTCGCATTCTAATTATAAGTATGCTCTGCTTCCTCAGGTGGCTGTACGAAGAGATCGATCCCGCCGTTGCACATTTTTACGCTTATCAATCCCGCTCCTTGGCAGATTGCGTGCATTCTTGGCGGGTTGCGCTTCATTCGAGCGTACAGAGACCAGACCGCTCACTCTGTGGCGGGTGTTGGGTTACAATTATCGGCTATAGATATCGAGATATTGCCCTCCCTCTTCCCTACTTCCGATAGTTTTCTTGCGCTTGGGAAAATTATTACGCTTCGCTTCGCGAGAGCCTTGATTACACATCGCGATAAGGACGAGTGATAACGAGGCGCGGGCGATGTTGTTACGCGCATCGTCGCATACATGCTTCGCGCGCCCCGCCATTTTTGGTGACGACTTCCTCAGAATAGAGCTAGAAGAAACAGGAGAGGTGGTTCCGATTCTCTTCCCCTCTATTTCTGTTGTCTTCTCGCTCGCTCTCGATTTTGCTACCTGTCTTTCTCTTTTTCACATACACACACACACACATACTCTCTTTCTCTCTCTCTCTGTTTGTTCACATCTCTCCCCCTAATAGCAGTAGCTTCTCTTTTCGTTACGCTTCTTTGCACTTGTGTGATCACATATCCACAGCTCTCTTTCTCTTTTATCTGCGTCTCTTTTCGAGACCTGTTTCTTTTGCTCTCTTCCTCTCTCTCTCTCTCTCTCTCTTTACTTCTCTGTCCATCCCTTCGCTCCTCCTCATCCTTTGAGTAACGCAATAGCGTTCGGTTAACGGACACCCCCGCGAAACCGCTGGCAGAATGATTTGACTAAGAGGCGCGAAGCGAGAAGGAGATATATGAAACACGGAGCGGAGGAATTCTCGAAAAGTTGTGCCAGATAAATTGGATCGTGTCCACCGGTTGCCGCCGTAATAGTTGAAAGTCTCAAGAGAAATTAGGCAATAACCCACTAGTCGATTTTTTAAAAATCGATCAAACACGAAAGGATCAAGTGATCGATTTTTCTTCAATCAATATCTTATTGATATCGTCTACAGTTAATAATATATCACAACTCAAATATCAATGTATTGAGACACGTCAGAGATCAAAAGTGTGATTACGATAAGCTTAAACACGCGACTGTCATTCCTTTATTCGCAAAGAATCATGGACCCCGCGCGAATAAATATATAAATACATCGTCATTTGTAAGAAACCTATTTTTATTTTTCACCATTCATCACTTTTGTTTTTGACTGAGAAAGAACCAAAATACAAATGACGTCAGGAATCATTCACATATGCATATTTTCCTATAAATTTATCTTACTGATCGGAATTACGAGCTAAAAGTACGAAGTTAAAAGAAATGAATATTGTGGGAACAATTGTTAGAATGTAGTACATGAACGAGGAATTACATGTAGTAGCTTTGTCGCGAAGTAACAGGCATTTTGCTCTTGCATTTTGCTCTCCATTAAAGGCGACAGGTGCTCTTTCGAAATTATTTCGCTTGTCGTCACATCGACAGCTGCCATGAAAGTGCGAAGTCAATTGACTAAATTACGTTTGTCTTTGGCAAAGAATGTATATTCGATCGGAGGGCGTCCATCGGCCTCATCTTTTGGATTAGCTTCGATTGATCGGCTAAAGATCCAAATATATCTATATTTACAATTCTCTGTTCAGCTGCAAAGCTTGCTTCTCTTCGATATTTAAAATAATAAAGGAACAAATGCATGCTTTATAAGAAGCTGTAGTATATATGTGATCTAGTAATTAAATGATAAGACTGATTTTATATATTAGACAATTACACGTTGATTATGACAGAAATGTGTGTTTACAGGACGAGCTAAAAGTACGAAGTTTTATAGGACGCGTCGATGACGCTCAAGTTTGAGAATTGATTTGCGATGGGTTTGCTTTGGTATCTTTTGTATATTTTTAATATTTCTGAAAAATTTTCCTTTCGGCGGCAATTTCAACTTCTGGCCTGAAAACAACCAAGCGTGTTTGCTCACCCGCTATACTTTCTAGATTTGGCACCTCGCGCTTACTTCCTGTTAGCGAAATAAACTGTTCCAGCCATCACTTGATTCATTAAAATAATTTCTGTTTTTAATAAAGTTATGTTCTTCATGTTTTGCTTATCAAACAGCTACTCTGATCACTGTATAAACTACTCAAGTTCTCTCTAATTCTCGTTTGCTCGTCTATGTTCTAATGCTGCGCTCGCAAAATAAACCCAGTTTTTTAAATAACTTTTGGAAAAATGAAATCAGTCTTATTCTTTAATCGCCGGACTACATACACCGTTACTACATGAGAAAGAGAGAGACAACAAGATCGCAAGACGGCCAGTGCCTAGTTTATGAGCCACTAAAAATATAAGAACGAACGGCCTCGCCCATACGTCGTCGACGTCGTTGTCGTCGTCGTTTTCTCGTCTTCGTCGCCGTTATCCGCGAATGTCTTCGCCAAGGGCGCTCGTGGTGTTCTCGTTTACAATTATATAGAGTAACGACCGAGATACATGAAATTGAGTCGCTCCAGTCGGACTGTCTTACACGTTTGGCTCAAGATCATCGTCATTTTCCGCCTAACGCGCGTAGAGAAAATTCAATTAGTAAGAGAAATTTTTCTTAAAAAAAGAGTGCAGTGAAGAAACACGTGCCTCAATCCAGCCAAACTCTACTGAAATAAGGAAGCTTCTCTCTATGATGAATATGCAAAGTGGAGTAACAATGAAAATAAACCGATAGGCGTAATGTGAAAACAAACTGTCGGTATGAAGAATAAACATAGGAATATACGTATTATGTTAATCATTACTGCAGAGTTTGGTTTGTGTTTTATGTGCTCCGGTAAGCAGAATCGGGTAGGTACATATATTTCGAAAATTGTTTCAAGGAAGTAGCGAGAATAGCAGCAAAATATTTAATAAAAGATGTATCAGTAATTATTTTGTATTATTTACACTGTGTTACAGATACGCGTTAGAATACATACATTGTTTAGTTACTGTGTTATTATTAAATTAAATTAATATTAATTGCTTAGAGTTCTTAAAATGTAATCTGTTATTATCGGCGCATTAATTATAATTCTTTAATTTTTTTATATCTTTAAATATCTATATCCATTACCGAATAAATTTTGTTGATATAACCTTCTTCTAGAAATGGAAGATGAAATTTTCGGGAAAGTGCACTTTGCAATCGAATGAAACTAAGGGCCTTAGAAGAGTAGCTTACTTGTAATTTCAAGACAATGTTTTATATTTTAAATCTTTGTCTTAACTAGCACATAATACGTCTCAATTACGTTTTAAATTTGTACGAAGACAACATTTGGAAGGAATAAATGTATGTATGTTAATACACAAAAGTAACAATTTTACTACTGTACAACTACTAATAATAGATGAATATTTTATAAATATTGTCTTGAAATTACACGTGAGCTATTCTGTTAATCGTTGCACGTGTGGAATGTTTCCGTTCTATTCACTGAAGTCTGAATTTCTCCGTTCAATGTTCGATTGTTTTATGGAACAGTCAACCAGGCAGTAGCTTAAATGTTTTTGACGTCGAAAACATCTCGAATATCACAATTGTGAATGCAATTCTGTAACTTCACTTAAAGCAGCAGAAAAGGAAAATTTGTGTATATATACATACACAATGTCCAAATAAAGAATTCTCGTACTTAAAAAATTCTTCAATGTTTATTGTAGTCATATTGGATCGTGGTGACGAAAAAATGTATAAAACTTTTTTTAGATTATGAGTCGAAATAAATTAGTGCCTTTGTATACCATCATTCATATGTGATAAATTGGTGAATGGCTGCTAGATTTTTATAATAAATAAAATTAATTTTTGGGTATCTTATTTTCTATTTCTATTTTCGACAAACATGGGTTTGACAGTTTACAAAGATTAATCTACAAACCAAAAAGAGAATCTTTAATCATTTAATAAATTAATTTTATCAAACGAGAACTACATTTGCAAAATAATTAATTTACTTTAATCTGTACACAATATAAAGAAAAGATTTGTATGATTCCTTGCTTTAAAATTATAGCTTTAATTTATTTGTGTGAGTACATGTATATTTACATTTTTTAATTAATCGATCTGCGATAACTTCAGAAAAACGGGGCCACGCTTCCATGCGAAATCTCACATCACCGTGACAACAAAGAGAGACAATTCTACATCAGACAGTAAATAAGCAATTTGTTCAGTTGTTACATATACCTAATATTAAGATATAAAATAATAGGAAATTTAAATGTCATTGTTTTTCTAATGGTTTAAAGATACCGAATCTCTTAGTTAAATGGTGTAAGATAAAGAAAAAATTAAAACAACTCACTCCGAAGCAAAATATTTAATTGAAACATCTTATTTAAAAGGTGTCTTTTAAAGTGAACATAAATTGTGAGAGACGTATTTTAAGGTGAGTGGTCATCGAGTTCTTTATCTTAAGTTGTTTAAAATGTCTAGAATGTTTACATCGCTTTGAATACATCGTGACATTTTAGAATTCTCACAAACTAAGAAATTTGATATCCCGAAGACCATCATTGTCATGGCATTGGAACTTTGGGTAAATATGTCTCAGTGTTATTATAACTTTGTATAAATACACACATCTCAATGTTACACGTAAGTGTAAAAAAAAAGAAGAAAAATTTGGAGAAAACAAGAAATATTTGCTTATTTACCGTCCGATTTGAAATCACTCAAAGGCGGAAGAAGCATTCCCCCGCACAGTGGATATAAGTAATTTTAGATTTCTGGCCGAAAGGATGTCTAGGGCTCTCGAGAGACGCCGATACTGCTTTCGGTGTTATTATTACACGAACGATGCATCGCTCCAAATTTCACTCTCGTGTCGACTGCCATAAAATGATATAATATTTTAATATACGAAATGATTTTGTTTGTTTAGCGTCTGCTAATTTCATTATTGTCAATCGTTACTGTGCATTATGAGTAATTTTGGCTTTTTTTTAAAACATATGTAGCCTTGCACATCGTATGTATTAAAGATATACCAGATAAAGCATTAAAGCAGTGACATAATGACTATACACAATTTCTAGTGTGCTAATTATGCATTCTTTTCTGTCGATGATGACTAGGGTGTCATGTAATCGGTTCAGGCGATAAAGATAAGAAGATAGAGATATACGAGTCACTAAATGGTAACCGAGGAGAAAAGAATTCGATACGAGCGTACGGCGACATGAGCCGCGAGGACGCAGCCGCAGCTGGAAATAGGTTCGACGCGCGAGCTCGTCGTCTGGGTCCTCCGACGCTTCGCCAGTCGATTCTATCGTATATCTCTCTCGATAATCGTTCTCCTTCCTTCCTTCTCATTCTACACCAGAAACCTTCGCATGAAAACTTTGCATCTTCTTTTCAATGCGAGATCATCGCGTCGTGACGTTCCCCAAATTCCATACGATTTTACTTCGGTCTTTTCCGTCGATTATAGAAAGCAATTCATGAGCAGACTGATGTTTGCGCGACGATTAGCTCGAAAGGAGCTCAATTTGACAGAAACGTGAAGTAATAAACTGGAAAAAAGATAAACTTTATTTACGCGAGTGTAGACAGACAGAACTGGGTATCTGGAAATAGGTTCGGCAAGCAAGCTCATCATTATTTGAGATCCCCTCGAGAGAGGTCCCGAGTTCTTCGGGTTTCTCTCTTTACTCTGACAGAGTTCGCTGCATCATTTCGCGGTAGGGAAATTGACGTCGGCGTGCGATCCGCGACAGGTCCGTGTTGTACGACGTCTCGAGCCGAACGCGATCTACGAATGCGCAGGGTGGTCGTCACGGCTGGGACGGTATTATGTTTTCAGCGTAGATGATAGCCGAGAAGAAGAAGAGAGGGGTTCTCAGTGGTAAGCGCGAAAATAACTCTAACGTGCGCTAAAAGCGGCGTTCACCAGCGGAGCGCTAGCCTTGCTACAGCGCGTTTAAGACACGGACAGATTTTTCGACAATTGTCTCTCGTCCTTCGGTTCGGCCGATCAGTCTTGAATTTCAGTTTTGCACTTTGCACTTTAGTCCCGATTCAGAAGTTTAAGAATATCCTTCGACCTTGCACCAAACAAGTGTCTTCCCGTTAATTACAAAAAACATGAAATGTTAACCCTCTCTTCAACTTGCTTCCGCGCGGCTAGAGTTACGGTGAACGCGAGCTTTCGCGACGATGTGTTTTGAGTCAACGCGGTAAAAGTAAGTTTCTCGTACTTATAGCATGTCGGTGGCACACGTTGGTGTGCTCGTGGCCGAAAATCTGGGGTCGATTATATCACTCGGTATTACGAAAAGATGATTCAAGAGATAATCACGGTGGGTATGCGGGCTGCCGAGCGACATGTAGGCGCGCGAACAGGTTGTTTAGAAATTTTCCCCGTTGCAAGATAGTAATTTGCAAATACATTATTTAGGCACATAATGTCCTTCGTTCCTTTTCGGTCCCCAGTTATCATCTTTTCGGGGCCGCGACGCTCGATGTTTACACAAAATTCGGATGTAATACACAAACTATATTGATCTTCGTCAATCTCGCAAAATTAGTTGTCTCGCCTAAAATTAAGCGTACTGGACATTCAGTCGCATGGCATTTTGTACATCATAAAAATATTATTACGCACGAGTCAAACCACCAAAAATCATGGCTGAATCTGCGCAAGCATTGCTCGTGCGCTTCCGCATCTAGCCCATGCGTCACACTAATGAGTCAGTTATCGCTATATGTGTTTCCTGGATCACACTAACAAGCAGCGGCTCGTAGCTCGTCTCCCACTGATCGTGATGAAACTCGAAGTATACAAATCCGAATGAACATTCACGTATCTTTAAAATAGCCCAAATTTACCTAGCACTTTTTAGATACCCTAAGAACACATCGGCGCATTGCAATTCATTGAATTTCACAGAATTCTATATTTATCTTTCTAAAAAGATGTGACCGAGAGAGAGAGAGAGAGAGAGACGTTCGATATTTGTCTCGCCTATTGAAAAAAGGAAGGATTGTGTTACATCAATTACCTTTGGGGAGCTTCGAAAAGCGTACACAAGGATGCATTTTGGCATTTTGCCACGCGAGATGTGACCTTCGGTATATTCAGCATATAGTGCAATTCAATATTTTAATGCATTAAAAAAAGGATATCCAATTAATTCTAATATTCTTCTATATGGATGATTGACGTGGAAGATCGCTTACAGCTTAAATCAAATAAAATACGTTTCACGCGCGACATTAGGCTGCTAGATTAGCAAACTGGGGAGGCCACCTCGAGACAGGCTGTCCTACTGAGCGGTCGTAGCACTTGGCAGAAGAAGTAGATTTAGTACCTGTTAATTCTCACGTGAGGGTAATTTGCAAGAGTAGAACTATCGTTCATAAAACGCGTATATCGATGCCACCAAAGTATCGCGAGTGTTTAACTTTGCAGAAGACTCAATCATACAATAGTTATCTTCCTGAAGAGAAAGAAAGAGAAAGAGAGGGGTAGAATTGAGAGAGCAGAAAGTTTGGAATATTGAAACTTTATTTTTTCGAAATGATAAAATTCTTATGTGCGCTTTGACCGAGAAACTCGCATTTTTCAAGAAATGCAGTGCTTTTTATGAGTACCATTGATATATCTTATATATAATATAAAGTAATATTTGTGTTTAATGATGAAAACTTATAAATGGAAAGGACAATCATCTATGAGCGGACAGCATTCCGCGATCATTCTGAAAAATTATCATTTCCTTTGCTGTACATAGGACGGTCTCACTGGCGAGCAGTGTTCCGTAACTCTAACTGTAGCTTTCGTCAACACCCACTCACGTTATATAATATTCTAACAAGAATCCGGGAAATGTTAATACGTTTTCACGATTAACAAAAAGAAATGGGCCTAATATAAAAAGAAAAGCGAAAGAGAATTGTGTAGTAACAGGTGATAGGGCAAGTTTTACGGAGATAGAAGTGTAGAGTATCTGTCACATAAGTTGTCTGATCTTTAAAGAAGATCTGTGCTGTACTTAACGTCAGTGATTGAGTAGTCCTAATTTTTTATTCTTGGAGAACTTAACAATAGTTATATGTACGTTTCAATGTGATGTCCCAAGTTTCTTTAAGATCTTGCTTTGCTGATGTCTTTTAGGTTTGCCATTTTCCATTTATCACAACACTGTCGTGTACATTTCACATACGTCATTTTATAGACATTATTTTCTTGCATATATTATGTCCATTTATTAATATCGAATAATATGGGAATATTGTTTCGCAGAGCATAGTGTTCTTGGTATTGTATTATTTATTCATCAATTCGAAAATTTTAGACAATTTTTATTATTTTTATATACTGATTTATGAAATGCATATAAAGAAATGGGTTAAAAAGAAACAAATCAGTTTTATATTAACGAAATAAGATATATAATTGCTCAAATAAGATTGTTAAATATGTTCATATTATTTCGCGAAGTATGATTTCGCGGAAAACACAGTTTCGTATCAATGGTAATGGAAAAAAAAAGTTTACGTCAATGGGATTATCTTGAGCATGTTCAACAATTGAAATGTTCGCTTATATGACATATGTATCGGAAACGTGATATTCTGTTTCAATTATAAAAGAAAGTGTTATTACGAATATTTATATTTCAAGAGTTACATATACTGTAAATTCAAGGGTCGCATCGTACCTGTTGTCGCGTGCTACCCCGCTCTAGACTGGCGGAGTTTGTTTACCGCTCGAGATCACGGCATTGTAATTTATGACAAAATCGTAAGATCGTAACACGAGTGATAGAGCACTTACACCAATACACGGCAACAAAGTCCTTCTCGTTGAGGAGCCGTTCGAGTTGCTTGGTAGTAACTTCCTCGATCACCGGCTCGGCCTCCTTCTGCTTGCCGGCCGAGCCGCGGGACGAGGCCGACTCCTCAGCTTTCGTCCTTGCGGCGGCGTCAACTGGACCCAGGAGGATCGAGATCAACGCCAGCACGCTCAGAAGGATGATTGTTTTCGGATGGTACATCGTCGTCGGCATCGTAGGGCCGCGGGTCGTAGTACTCCGCCTTCTTCTTCGCCAGCACCACCACCATCGGCCGAACCGTACCGCCGAACCGTCGTTCGCTGTCGACATCGCCGCACTGACTGCCGCACATCGGCTATTTTTGAATTTTCGGACAGCGTCGGCCACACGGGGAGAACGACGTTAAGAACGACGAAGACGAAGCCGAAGACGATGACGACGGCGGCGACGACGACGGTTCAGATGACGTCGCCGCGTTGTATTATATTTACTTGCTATTCCACCGTTTATTTTCTATCGCAACATTTCATAAAAGAGCAAATTGTTTTATTTAAAAGGAGCAATGACTTTTTTTTCTCCGAGAGCAGGGGCAAACGCTTTTACGCGTACCATCAGGCCGACCTGGAAGATTATTCGTAGGACTCTCCCGTGAAGCGGGAAATACCGGCTAAATACCCCTCTCTTTGGACCATCCTCCGCACTATAGACGAATCTCCCCCGGAACCGCCTAAAAGGAGCAATGATGTGTGCACAATAGCATTACTTAATTTCGCGCAAACATTAAAAGTTGGACTTTAATTGTACCTGTAAATATGTTCAGTTGGTATTAATCGACTTTTTATCGAATTAAACTGATAATGTAGTTTTATATTAATATCAACTGTAAATTATAGGATTATAACTATTATCATTATATTTGTATTGTAAGCTCTGCCTTTTGCATAGCTATTACTGTGATATTTTTTCTTTATTTCGAGCAGAAATAAAATCAAGTAGGCCTGGTGTATGGTTAGGGCCTGGTAGGGAAGAAGTACTATAAAATATACCCTAACAAGGGATTCCCGACATGTGCCTGATCCGCTGCACAACAGGATGTTCTTTTCAAATATATCTTTCAGGTAATCCTTACGCGGGCCTGATTTCCTTACCCCTGTCATTTCCCTCGCAGGGTTTGATAAATGCTAGCCTAAGTAGTACTAGTACCACTCGCTGCCGCGACGTGGCGACCTTGTAAGTTAGGCTTTCTTGTAAGTAAAAATCACCCCGCATTAGTGTAAGAGGCGAGCCGATATGATTCGACAGCGAGTTGTCTGGATTACGGATAAACTTAATGACCTGCATACTTCTGATGACTGTATACTGAATTTATCACAATTTAAAAATTAGTTTAAAAAATTAAATTTTTTAAATGAAAAGCCTAGTGATGCCCAATTAACACACTGCTAGAAATTGTAAGGCGTAACAAGGGGCAAGTCATGAGGTCTTGATAAGGAAAACCCGATCAGGCAATTTTAATTCTTGACGTTACATTTTATGGTCAGGGCTCAATAAGGTCTACCTGATGAGTGCTTGATAAGGCATTAGGGCATGCTTATTAGATTAGGACTCTTCTAAAAGACCAGTTCTATTTGACGATGTCTATCTCGAATTATTTCATTAAAGTCGTCTTGCTCTCTGATATGCACTCTGTTTAATTTTGTTTAATTCAAATGGTATTGAGCTTTTGATAACATCAACGTGTTGCTAGATTTTTTACGGCTGATAGCGGTTTTTAAAATTTTGATTTTATCTGAATAACAATAATCGTGAAATTAAAATATTTTATTAAACTATTAATTAATTCATTAAATTATCTGTATGGATATTTTTTATGAATACTTTGATATTTTAATGGTACGTGACTTTGCGCGAAGATAATGGTAAGAATTACATAATTAAAAAGATTTAGTAGAATGATTTATATTAGATATGCTATATCACCTGTGTCGCGAGAGATATACTGATCATTTATTTGTCAGATACGATTACATCTTTCGCATCGATTCTTTTGTTCTGTAATAATATTCTAAATACTTCCTTAGAAGTATTAAAGGAGAACATTACTAGTTATGTTATTTTAGCTGAGCAACGATAAGAGCGCTCGAGAATCGCTAATTTTTCGATGCTTTTAATTCGAGTTTTAATTAATAAGATGAAAGAATTTTGAGGAAACATTGTATATCTACATATTTATGTATATTGAGAACATAATTTATACATATATATGTTACTGATGATCGATATTTAAATAAATAATTATAAAGTGTACAGCTAGTTACATACTATCATTACAGATGCAGTATAAACATATTAAAAAAGATAAATTTGAGTAACTCTTATTGCCGCTGTGATCGTTGCTTTAGTCAGAGCTTTTATCATTGCCCCAATACGGACATTCTTTTGTATACGATATCGATGTAGATACTGATGGCGCGGAAAAAGATGTATATATACCGGCGCGGGGATAGTTTACTAGTACAGTTGATCAGTAACCTCGGTACACAGCGGGACAGGTATGGCAGAAGTGGTAGAGAAGTCACGTATTGCCATCGTCGGCGGTGGTTTGGTGCGTGGAACGTTTTTATTTATTTTGGTGCAAAAAGACGGTAAATAGGAGAAAGAAGCTATTGCTTTCGTTTCAGGTCGGTGCATTAGCTGCAAGTTTTTTCGCTAAAAGGGGTCATCGAGTAGCCATCTATGAATATCGATCAGGTAAAACACGTTAAAAATTGTACTCGAGTCGTAGAATTTTATTTGCTTCGTGACTTATTATTTTTAGAAATTCATATCCTACTTTTTATAACATAATACATTAAGATATGATTCGCTAGAGACTTTATTATCAGTAAAATTTTACGATAAGGCTGATAAAAAGTGTTATTTGCTAAGTGTTTCGAAAAATGATACCTTAGGAGATCAGTAATCGAATCTTCACACTTTTAGACATACGATTGGAAAAATCGAGTGGTCAAAGTATTAACTTAGCGCTGTCATTCCGTGGCAGAGAAGCTTTAAAAGCAATCGGTCTTGAAAATGTTTTGGTGAAACATGGTACTTCTATGCGTGGCAGAATGCTTCATGATAAAGATGGCAATTTAAAAGAAGTTCTTTACGACAGCGTCAAAGGAAATGTTCGTTTTCTTTTGTTTTTACTATTTTGTACATTTTCTGCATAATTTTGATTATCTTTTAATGTTTACAAGCATGAATTTTATATTTTGCAGTGCATTTATTCCATTAATAGGCGATTTCTCAATATGGTTCTATTGGACGGTACGTTATTTTTTATAAATAAAAATACTTTATTGCTTAATATTTTAGATTGAAATCATTTATTATAATAATGCACAACTTGAATCTATTATTGATAATATTAAACAACTTAAAATTAAACGAATGTAATGATGGAGAACGTCACCGTTGAAATGGTGTAATAAGATTTATTTATAAATATCGTTTTGGTATTAATAGATCTTTAATCAATAAAACCATATACTCTCAAATTACAAATTGAACGTTTCGGTCTGCGAAAGCGACCCTCTTCAGCAATAGATTATATAAAATTAAACATACTAGGTACGAACCATAAATTCGACGTTGTAGGATAGCGCAACATAATCGTATTATAACGAGTGTTTGTAAAACATATCAGTATTGCTTATATCGTGACGGATTTTATGTCCTAATATAATTAAAAATTATATAATCTTAAAAACAGCTAATAGCATTTCTAATTTTTTAATAACGATTTTTTAAAAGTTTAGACGTATATTAAAAATTTTAATCCTACAATCATATTTTATTTGTTTTTTTCATGTCAAATCTTTATTTAAAACAATGAATAGTTTTATACATATATTAAGTACCTGAACGAAGTCACTTTATCATTGTAATTTATTTAAAGTAAATATATTAAGCCCAAGTAAGTCAAAGAAATACGAGATAGAATGCAAGATATATCAGTTAAAAAAAGCTCATCTGCCCCTGTGTTATTCGATAACGCTGTTGCGCGAAGCCAGAAAAATTTTTCCGCGTATCGTCTTACTCGTGGCACCCGTTTACCATAACGTAGACTTAAGTCGCGCGATATCAGGTAACTAATCTATAATATAAAATCTAATTTAAATGTGAATCTTATTTTGTTGCGATTATATTTCATCGATAGCCGCGGAAAAATATCCGGAAGTGCAACTCAATTTTAATAGAAAGCTCATGGACGCCGATTTGGAAAACGGAAAAATGCAATTCTTAAAGTGAGTAAATAAATTTTATTAGACAAATTAGTATTTCGTCTTGTTTAACTAGTTTCCTATTTTCAGTACAAATACGGGAATAACGGAAGAGGCAGAAGCTGACCTGATAATAGGTGCCGATGGCGCGCATTCAAAAATACGGAATATTATGACTAAACAGCCGCTCTTTAGTTGCTCCCAAACGCACGTCGATCACGCTTACGTAGAAATTTCTGTGCCGCGTCGAGAAGATAATGAAGTGAGTATCGTGAAACAATATTGTTGCGTCATGCGATTCTAATCAAGCTGTTTCAAACACTTCGCCATATGGATTTATCAAAATTTCTTAACCACTTGAAAGTTTGCGATGAGCGGTAACAATCTTCATATTTGGCCGCGCGGTGAATTTATGATGAGCAGTTTGCCGAACGAGGATCGCACGTTTACCGGCAATCTGTTCGCTCCATTTCACGTGTTTGAAAAACTAAAAACGCCCGAGGCATTGTTGAGCTTCTACACCGAGCATTTCCCGGATTTCCTGCAACTCATCGGCGAGGAGAGTCTGCTGAAGCAATTTTTCGAAAAGAAACCCCAGACGTTAATATCAGTTAAGGTTAATTTTAATTTTATTATATTCTGCGATTGCTCGATCTATTTGAATAATTTGGATGATCTAACATTTTTTCGTGCATCTTGCAGTGCAAACCTTATCACGTTGGAAAAACTATTATAGTTGGCGATGCTGCCCACGCCATGGTTCCTTTCTACGCTCAAGGAATGAACACTGTAAGTTTGATCGAGTCGATTTAAAGAATTTTTTCGCAATATATATATTTTGTCACTTGTAGAGAAAAAATAGAATAATAAATCTATTAGAAGATATCTTATTTATTACTATCCAATAAATTCCATTAATTGAGTACAATTAGTGGAATTTATTTCTACATCTTGCTTTTCACTTCGTTAGGGCTTTGAAGATATTCTAGTGCTCGATGAAATAATGGAACGCTACGATTCCGACTTTGCAAAAATTCTGCCGAAATATTCGGAATTACGTTACGACAATGGGCACGCAATCTGCGATCTCGCAATGTATAACTATCTTGAGGTATACATGAATCAGTGAAATTTATCTATATATTTGTATACTTAAATATTTGTCGTTTTAAAACTAATTCTTAAATTATATCTTTCAGATGAGAGATTTGGTGGCAAGAAAATCTTTTCTTTTTCGAAAGCTTTTGGACAACATTTTATTCACACTTATTCCCAATTACTGGGTACCGCTTTACTTCACTGTGCAATTTACCCGCATGAGTTTTCGTGAATGCGTGACGAACAAAGAATGGCAGGATAAGGTATGGACAAAGTATAGCAAGCAATAAAATGTACGTAGATATAAAAACTATTTCTTATATTACAGGTATTAAAAATAGGTGTTTTATGTCTTGGATTTCTGATATTTGCTGTGCTAGTTGGCTTTTTTTTACAAAATGCCATGTGAACGGGATCGCTTGCTAAATATCATTAAATTATGATCTAATGATGAAGACAGCATAATTAATAATTAATTTTCATAGCAAATATTCATATTTTATGTATTTAATCTTACCTAATTTTTTGTAACTTTATTTAATAATTACATTTGCAAAAATTAGTCAATTTATGTTTTAATTAATTTTACTTATTAACATGTCATCGAGTTAAACGCAAAAGGTACTTATTAATTACAATATTACAAAGTAAACTTATTGCATATGTCGTACAACAAGTTAATTTTTTAATATTATATTACAAAAAATTTTAAACAATTTAATTTTATTCTCAAAGAATATTCTGTACGAACGTATTAGCATAAGCTTCAGCTGTTTCAGGAATAAACAGTTCTTTTCCACGAATCAAATCTTTTCATTTGTGCAAGTTTGAGAAGCGTGCGGATGTGCGAAGAATGAATAAAACACACGAGTTGACCAGCAAGCGCAATAATACTATGTACAGTGTGGTGCATTAATTCGATTCGGGTTGTATTGTCAAAAAGGACCTATGTTTAAATAATCAAATATTTTTTGCCCATTCTTAACTATTATCCGAATTAATGCATCGTACTGTAATATACAAAAGTATTAACTATGTAGTAATATCATTACATATCTAAATTCCATTCAATATATTCTTTTGCGCGTATTTTTATAAGATTATAAGTAAAGTATATTTAGTTTGCTTATAATCTAAGTACCGAGAATCTTAATAAGTAAATTATATTAACTAATTAGCATACAAATGTACATTCGAGTTTTAATTGTACATAAAATTTTCTTCCAATATCTTTCTACGTCATTAAAACAGTAACAATCTTTTTAACGGGGACTTGAAAATAATAACAAACACCACTTTTACATTAATATGCATGCATATCATAGCTCGAGAGTAGCATTTTCTGCATTTTTTATATAATTGTGCTTTTGTGTTTCGAAGAGTTCAACTAAACCTTTTACAAATTTTTCGTGATATTCGTTGACCTGCTCAGTTGTAGGTTCCGCTATTTTCGGCAATTCGATAGGACTGCCAACTATAAAGAAGATAAAGATAAAATTTGAATATATAATTAGAATAATGAAATATTTAGCAATTTAGAATGCATAACGTATGCATAAAATTGGGAATATACAGAGAGAACTTTACCGACTACGGTGACAGGCAATCGCTTTGGAATAAGGCCAAATGAATACTGAAAGAATCCTCTGCCCGAGAAAACAACGGGTGCTACTCCAATTAAACCACGAATATAGTTCTGTACGCGTCTGAACGTCGATCCTTCTGGACGATATATTTGATTGTATAAGTCCGTTTCCCCAAAGGAGAAAACAGGAACCAACGGCGTGCTAAATCATGGAATTGTATTAGATTTGAGTCGTATTGAGTATAATTACTATATGCGATTACTATCGTACTCTATATTTTTTATTTTCCACGGTTATATGAGTCATATTTTTTAAAAGTTATTACGTGAATAAATTACAAAATTTTCATCTTGAAATACAATTTACGTTAAATACTGTTATAAAAATATAATTTATGTTAGTAAAAATATATATAAATATATAACCATTTACCCGTATGTTAGTGCTAATTTCACGAAGCCTTTTCTTCGTTTTACAAGGCTACGATAAGTGCCCGGCGTCGATTCCATTGATTCGGAAGCACCACCAACAATGAGAACCGTAGCCTTCCCAGTATATGGACTTTTCGGTGGTGTCGATAGTAAATACTTAATACTTCTTATACTAGAACCACAGGAACCTATAAGCATCGAGAATTTATTGTTATAATTAACTTATAGAAAGAATAAGACGTTCTGTGAATACTTATTATTTAAAATCTAAAACAATCTTGTCCACAAACAAGAACTATATAATGTTGTTGCATCATTTTTTATATAATATTATAATACTGATGTATTTATATTTACTGCATACATGTCGAAAGTATTTAGTACACTATTGCAAGATTAATCTGTTACAGTTAAGCAAGGAAAACTTAGTGAAAAAATCTATTAAAATTTTTTACCTAAGAAGTAAGCATATTCTCTGAATATAGGTACTTTAAAGTGTTGATCGAGAGTAATTGGACGTATATCTAGTCCGGGAAATAACTTTTTGCAATCCAACACATCCGTTCCGAATGAACCCATTATCCCCGCCGACAAAATGCCATGAGGTACACAGATAAAAAGATACGATTTGTTGGGATTTAGGTCCACCGTTTTCACTAATTTAATTGGAAAATAATTACAAAAGTACCGCCAGAGTGCATTATTTCTCGTCAGTCTTGTCCATTTTTCACTGAAAATGTCACATATTATTCTTTAAAAACATTAATAAATGTCATCATCTCTGTTGCATAATAAATGTTTATCGCGGTTAGTACCATTATCTTATATAAGATCCAATGAATTGAATCAACATAGTTTTTTTATGTTACGCCGAATCATTATCTTCAAGCGATTGACAAGATTTTTATTTATCTACAGTGTCGACTTCAATGAAGATTAATACAATGTTTACCTTCTGCCACCACAATTACAAGTGTCCCAATCATAATACATCCAGAGGAAATATAGTAGGAGGAAGTATCGTGTTGTGTCTGTGTAGAGCAGAAGATAGGCCGTGATTAAGTAGCTCAAAAAATTACCAAAAGCTGAGACAAAAATCCATGTCGCAGCGGCCAATGTTTGTAGTCTTCTTTCCAATGGTACATTTAATGGTGCAAATTTCATGCCCAGAATTTCCATGTTTTTTCTCTAAGTCTTCGTGCCAAATTCAAATCATCGAAGAAAACCGCTTCTTTTTTTTCACTTGACACGCTCTACGGTATACATTGCCTGCGTATTAATCGATACGTTTTTATTAAACCTAGTCTTTTCCGCTCTTCTGTAATAACCGTTTGCATCGCTTCGGCTGACCGTGGATTTAATATGAACTGGCACTTTATCAAACCGACGCACAAAGTCTATCTTTGATTCATGCGAGGAGCGGACTTTGTATCTATATCTTGTACCTGATCTTCTAAGCATAGTCCCACCGATTTTTTGTTCACTTTATGCCGCGATTTTTCCTATTCTTACATTCTCATACTCGTTTCTCATGTTTATACTTTCATACTTTATGACATAGCAAGCGGAATATAAAATAGTCTCAACATTATTTAAATTACATTGAGTTATTTGTTTATTTGAATGTTTCGAAATAAATTGCGGTTGAGCAAGCAAATTACAGTTCCGCTTTTCGTCCAAACTTTGAGTGAAAGTACTTTCTATTTACGTTTTCTTACAAGAAAGCGACACAGTGCCAAACAGTACAGCCAGCCTTTTGCGACACATAAACAAATATCTTACAATATATTACAGCTTACATGAGCTTACTGTGGTAATTTTACTGGTGATTTCACAAATTGTTAGAGAGTTACTGTTACTCTCTCTTTGAGATTTTCCAGAGAACAAAATATCTTATCGTTATCATACTCTTGTATTATCACTTGCCACAGATACCAGCGACTTCAAGTAGGTATCTAAAAGATACACTTTTATATATTTCACTGTTTGATTGCATTCTAATTATAATTTTAATTACAGAGTGCTGCTTTCAATAATAATAATACATTTGAAAAATTAGATGTTTAGATACACATACGAAAATGTAGGTTGTGAGAGAATATTCAGTATGTTAGACATCAGAGTATCTCAAATTTCACATTATCAGTATTTTTTTAAGACTCTTAGCAAATATAACTGACTAGATCGAATCATTGATTCAAATAATCTTGTCGTAAACTTGAAGAAAAAAAAAAAACTAACTACTGCAATTTATAAAATATTTTCTTTAACTTATTTTGAAAACTTTCTATTACATCACCTGTTAAATTCTCAAACATTATAAAAGGAATTCAACTTATAGCGCAACTTCCATTCGAAAAACTGATTTAAAACTCAAACGCTCCTGCACGAAATAGGTTGATTACACAAGACTCACACTTTTCAAATTTATTATCTAGATTCTTGTGGCTACCTCGGCAAGTACAGAATTTTAGATTCCACTTTTTCTTGTGGCACAACGCCAGGTCACAGGAATGCTGTTTCCTACAGGTGAGATAGTACGTTTCGGTGCAGGTGGCCACGTGTATGCGTAAATATATTTATCTCTACGACTGCTTCCACGGAACGTTCGGCTCGGCGTCCTACGTCGTACTGTTGGATTTCGTCAGGTTGAGAAGAAAACATGTGCGACGGTGTATACTGTATACATGTGTTGCACGCACACATTCGCACATTCTTACGAACACATCGAGCGGACGTCCGTGAACATAGTTCCAACGTTCAAAATCCGACGTTCAGTCTCGTCCGAGTTTCAGCATAAAGTCTATATACGTTTAATTTCATTTAACAGTAAATTGACAACCTTTAAATTATGCGCCGTTAATCTAATATTTTATTACGTAAATTTATGTAAATTATTGTATCGAGTTGCGTTGAAAAATATTTGCACAGATATTGAGACTCTCATTTCTTTGACAAATGTTAGGTGTTTCCTATATAAAATTTACCATTTTGCAGTATAAGGATTTAATGTGCCTGTATTTAAAACATGCATATATGTTTAAAACATATTCAGGTTGAGTTTGAATTTAAATTAAAATAAAAATGTCCCGTTCACAATTCTTTAATTGTAAAATTAATATTATAATTATAATAAATACCATATTAGTACATTTATATGGCAAATAGAGGATTAAACAATAATGTAAAGATAATGTAATTAATGATTAATTTTTAAAGGACCATATTTTGTATTTAATCAGATCATAAATTTGAATTGTACACAATTGTGTAGTAACAATTCTATAATTTATTTATATACTATACTTATTGTTAGATATTTTAACTAGAACAATTGAATTAGATAGCATATACAAGAAATAAATTTATCATTAATATAAAAAATATAAAAGTATAGTAATATTTTCGAAACATATTATTAAATTTAATAACGATTTAAGAATATATGTATAAATATGAATACTCGATAAGTAATTTACAAAATCTAATAAACATATCTCGTGACTACATTTTATATATTTTTTTTCTTTATAAGTTTTGACTTTGCTCTTAATTTGCATATCGAGACTTTATAAACAAGAGTGTTTAAATAGATGGTATAAGAGAGACAAATTAAATAAACTATCTAACTAAGATGCATTAATCTTGTAAAAACCATCTTTTATTGCAGAAACATCTTTTTACATATCTATAAGATGTAATGTCTAAGAGAGAGTAGCAATCTTTGAAATAGAAATTTAAGAACAGTAACATATCTACATTCTAAATCATATAATTTGAATATGCATTGCATTATACGTTGAATTCGAGGGTAACTTTTTCTGCATTTTTTATGTAATTGTGCTTTTGCGTTTCAAAGAGTTCTATCAGTTGCTTTGTGAATTTGTCGTGATATGTGTCAATTTCTTCAGGTGTGGGGTCCGTTATTTTCGGCAGTTCAATAGGACTGCCAACTAAAACAAAGAGGATCATAAGATCGAAAATAAATAGTTATATAAAATGAAAGCAAATTTGAAAAATTGCACATAAAAAAATTTTACCGACTACGGTGACAGGTAATCGCTTTGGAATAAGGCCAAATGAATATTGAAAGAACCCTCTGCCCCAGACGACAACAGGTGGTATTCCAATGAAACTCCGAATATAATTCTGTATACGTCTAAAAGTCGATCCTTCTGGACGATATATTTGATTGTACAAATCCGTTTCACCAAAAGATAAAACAGGAACCAATGATGTGCTGAATCAAGAAATTCCATTAGATTTGAGTTGCACTGAATACAATCATTATGAGTGTCTATTGTCCTACGCCGTAAGATCCATATTTTAAGGCTGTTCTACATATATTGTAATATCTATTGTAACGCTCATTGTAACACAGCTGTCGTAAAATCAGCAGAGTGAATTGTGATTTCAAAACAATCCTCTAAGTCTTAAGTGTATATACGAAGACAACGTTTGCAAAAGATAAGCGTATGTTGTTAATACACAAAAGTGACAATTTTACTGTACGACCACTAAGATAAATGTTTTTTTATAAATATTATCTTGAAGTCAGGCCATTCTGCTAAGACCCTAAGAATTGACGCAATTTAAACTATGACGACGCTTGCTTAGTTATAATAGCCACTATAAATCGCCAAAAGCGGACATTCTGACACAGTTTATGATAGAATGCATGTGAATATGTGTTAAACATTAAATTCTATCATACAAATATAGATCATGTATGCTACATATGCAAATTCGTAAAAACAAAGTGTTGGATTGCTCACCCGTGTTTTAGTGCTAATTTCACAAAGCCCTTTCTTCGTTTCACATCAATACGATAAGTGCCCGGCGTAGATTCCATTAATTCGGACATACCACCAACGACGAGAATTGTAGCTTTTCCGGTATATGGTTTTTTCGGCGGAGTTGATAGCAAATGTTTGAGGCTTCTCACGCTAGAAGCGCAAAAACCTGTGTGTAAAGATCATTATTGTATATTTTCAAAAAATGGCGGCCTAAGTAATAATCATCGATTTATTAACATATACAAAAATATCTCTTTCGAACTCACACTTAAGTTATCGTTACAATAACGTTTTAAATTGTTTCTTTTCAATGAAAACTGGGTTTGATCTTTCTTATAGATAGGGAATATATAACGTAAATTTACTTATATTATCTATTATTATAATATTGCATATTAATGTAGTGCAAAAAATATCAAAAGTATTTTAATTGAAACAAAGCTTCTTGTTGATCCAACTGCCAATATGTTTAATTAAATTTTACATTGGTACGACGTTTCGACTTACGTATCTGGTTCTTATCAAGTAAAAGAATTTGCACATAGATGTTCGCACAGCATAAGTTATAGCAGGCTCGCAAGTCATTGTCGATGACCTGTGAGTTAATGACATACCAATATAGCATTTAATGAATTGTATTGCCTATTGGATTAACAAGAAATTTTGTTTCAATTTTTATTCATCACTGGTGATTTTTTAAGTATATTTCTCTACTTTAATTGAAAGTATTTTACCTAAAAAATAAACACATTCTCTGAATAAAGGCACTTTGAAGTGTTGATCGAGAGTAATGGGATGTAGTTCTAGTCCGGGAAATAATTTCTTGCAATCCATTGCGTCCGTTGCGAATGAACCCACTATTCCCATCGACAAAATGCCATGAGGTACACAAATAAAAAGATAAGACTTATTGGGATTTAGGTTCACCGTTTTCACTAATTTTAATGGAAAATAATTGCAAAAATAACGCCAAAATACGTTGTTTCTCACTACTTTTGTCAATAATTCACTGAAATGTAAGATATAGTTAGTTTTTAAACATTAATAATTGTTATTCTTATAAGGCTTTTTATCGCAATTATATTATTTTTTTGTATCAGATTCAATGAAAATCGTAACAGATATTTTTTTATTTACTGCATTAAGGAATTGTCTTCGAGCAAATAATGAAAAATTTTTATTCTTACGTTGTTGACTACTTAAGGGGGCACCTCGTATAACAGGTAAAAAATCGATTTTTTTGCTTAATTTTATATTTTAACATGTTAAAAATGTTCCTTAAGTTTTAAAATGAAATTTGAAAATTAACAATAGATGGTTTTACTAAATAAGCGTCAGGCAGGTAGAGCGACAAGTGTACAGTCCCTTTCCTTAATCCCTTGGAATATAATAGGCACTAAAAACAGCTGAAATATTTTGACCTGTGTCTGTATTTCTACTCGGTTACTATGTTGCCGTAACTTTCTATGTCTACTCTATAGAGACATAGTTCGTGATCCTTTGTACAGTTATAATGGTGCAACAGTTTACATCTTTTGAAATACATTCTGCTTTTGAGACACAGTCTTTGTGAAATTCGGCTCGTAAAAATATAGCAGTTTGAAGCGTGAGTTTGAATATTTCTCTGAAAGTTAATAAAAAGATACTTTTATAATGATAATGTTTAATTAAATTACTTTTATTACATAATTAACCTGAAAATTTTTCGTTAGAATTACTATGTTTTTAAGTTGTGATTTTTACAATTTTGCGTTATTCTTTTAATCTAAAAATAGGTTCGATTAATGCGTAAACTCATAAAGAGGAAAATCCTCTTGCATTTTCTATTTGAGATGAATCCGTACGGCGCTATATTGCACACTGCTAGACGACTCTAACATTGACGCGTTGAGCAAATATTATTATAATTTCTATAATAAATGTTTTTCTGCCAAAATACTAGATCATGTAATTTCCTTAAAAAAAAATTGTGAATTATCTAATTTTTAACGTGTTACACGAGGTGCTCCTGTTAACAGAGATTAATACAATATTACGTTCTTCCGCCACGATGACAAGTGTCCCAATCGTAATACATCCAGAGGAAATATAGTAGGAGGAAGTATCGTGTTATGTCTGTGTAGAGCAGAAGATAGGCCGTGATTAAGTATCCCCAAATATCACCAAAGCCGATGGCAAAAGTCCATGTCGCAGCGGCCAATGTTTGTAGTCTTCTTTTCAGAGGTACATTTAATGGTGCAAATTTCACGCCCAGAATTTCCATGTTTTTCTCTAAGTCTTCGTGCCAAATTCAAAGCATCGGAGAAAACCGATTCTTTCTCTTTCACTTCAAATACTCTACGGTATACTTTGCCCGTGTATTGATCAATACGTTTCTTTTAAAACTGTGTGTCTATTCCGTTCTTCTGTACTGTCCGGTTGCGTCGCTTCGACTGACCAACGATTTAATATGAACTACCTGTCTGAGATTTGAATAATTATCGGTATTAACCTGGTGAATTATATTAGTTTTTGTTTCGCTGCGAGCGAGCGGTGGTGAGCGAGGATGCAAGTTGGAGAAATAGGAAGTTAGTTAATTGCGTTGCGCTATTGGAAGAGAAGATAAGAAGGATCAGATCGACGATATCCTTGGGTTTTCTTTGTACGGAGAGATTTCAGTTCGTTACAATACACTTGCTCTGCCATATTCACAAGTCGTTATCTTATACACTGCTACTTTATCAAACCGACGCACAAAGTCTATCTTTGATTCCTGCGAGGAGCGGATTTTGTACGCGTGGTCTAGCTTGTCACTTTAAAACTTTTTGTTTATACTTGGCGCGAGACACTACCGCGTCTCATGATCTATACGAGGTGTGTCTCAAAAGTATCCAACCTCTGCATATATCTTTGTCTCTTGGGTATTCTGTCGTGGAAAACAGGTATTCAGTATTTAGGGTGGACCTTTAGGAGTACCCCCACCAAACGTCACGACCCAACAACTGTTCGGTCGGCAACGGTATGCAGTTGTATGAGCGTCGAAAACTCCGAGCGTCGCATTTCACAATGTCTGAACGAGTCGAGCAAAGAATTTGTATTAAATTTTGCCAAAAACTTGGACACACATATTCCGAAACAATTGGCACGATCCGCAAAGTTTATGATAATGACTTTATGAGTGAGACACAAGTAAAAGTATGGTTTAGACGGTTCAAAGATGGTCGTGCCTCAGTGGACAGTGATCCTCATTCCGGTAGACCTTCAACGTCGGAAACAGCGGAAAACGTGGAACGTGTGCGATTCCCAATGAACAAAAATCGTCGATTGACTGTGCGAGAGTTAGAAGAGTATCTTGAGATCCCTAAATTGATTGCGGATCGCACACGTTCCACGCTTTCCGCTGTTTTCGACGTTGAAGGTCTGCCGGAACGAGGATCACTGTCCACTGAGGCACGCCCATCTTTGAACCGTCTAAACTATTCTATTATTTAGGTATCTTTCATAGAGTCATTACCATAAACTTTGCAGATCATGCCGATTGTCTCGGAATATGTGTGTCCAAGTTTTTGGCAAAATTTAATACAAATTCTTTGCTCGACTCGTTCAGACATTTTAAAATGCGACGTTCGGAGTTTTCGACACTCACACAACTGCGTACCGTTGCCGACTCAACAAGATGTTGGGTCGTGCCGCTTGATGGGGGTATACTTCTAAGGGTCCACCCTTATACTGAAATAGCAGTTTTCCACAATAGGATGCCTAAGAACAAAAAAATATGCAGAGGTCGGATACTTTTGGACACACCTTGTATCTATCCTTGTTTCTGAGCTTCCAATCATAATTGCAAACCGATTTTATCTTCAATTTATGCTGCGATTGTTCCTATTCTTGCATTCTCATACTCTTTTCTCATGATTATATTTTTATACTTTATAACATAGCAAGCGGAATATAAAGTAGTCTCAATATTATTTAAATTACATTGAATTATGTGCTTATTTGCATGTGTTAGAGTAAGTAGAGAGGAAGTATAGGATTGAGCGAAGGTAGCGCTTTACGCCGGAAACTGTGCGAGAGTAGTAGTAGTAGTATGAATTTAACGAACGGGAAAAGTAAAGAGTACTCTAAGTCACAATAAACTGAGATTTTTGTCGAATCCTTGCCATTTACCTTCGAACCGGGCGACTAAAAAAACCAGTATAAATATATAATAGATCGAATCAGTAATTCAAATAATTTTGTCGTAAACTTGAAGAAAAAAATAAGAACTGACTACTGCTATTTATAAAATACTTTTTGACTTATTTAAAAAATTTTTCTTACATCACCTGTTAAATACTCAAACATTATAAAAGGAATTCAACTTATAGCGCAACTTCCATTCGAAAAGCTATGCTTTAAAACTCGAACGCACTTGTTCCAAATAAGTTGATTACATAAAAGACTCAGGCTTTTCAAATTTATTATCTAGATTCTTGTGGCTACCTCGGCAATTTCAGAATTTTAGATTGCACTTTTTCTTTCGGCACAACGCCAGGTCACAGGAATGCTGTATCCCACAGGTGAGATAGTACGTTTCGGTGCAGGTGGCCACGTGTGTGCGTAAATATATTTATCTCTACGACTGCTTCCACGAAACGTTCGGCACGACGTCATGCATCGTACCGTTGGATTTTGTCAGGTTGAGGAGAAAACATGTGTAACGGCGTATACATGGGTTTGTACTAGGGCTCGGATTTTATTCCGTTTTTCGAATAAACGTTTAAACGTGAAACGTTTATCCGTTTACATTTTCTTTCAAAAAAACGTTTATTTGTAGAAAAACGTTTACACGATTAAACGTTTACTAAACGTTTAGTAAACGTTTAATAAACGTTTATACGTATATTAGAGCCTAGTAAACGTTTAAACGTTTCTTAAGTAAAAACACGTGTATTCGGAAAAACGTTTCTAATAAACGGATAGCTAATTATACGTATAAACGTGTTTCCGTTTAAACGTATAATAGCGAGCCCTAGTTTGTACGCACTCCTTCACACATGCTTACGAATACATCGAGCGAACGTCCATGAACATAGTTCCAACGTTCGAAATCCGAAGTTTAGGGTCGTCCAAGTTTTAGTATAAAGTCTATGGGCCAGTTTCACAAACGTCGGTTAACTGCTAACCGAAGGTTAACTGATCCTCTGTCTCTTCTTAGAGAACAAGATAGAAAAACATAGGGCGTGAACTCTGGTTAACAGTTAACCAACGTTTGTGAAACTGGCCCTATATACGTTTAACTTCATTGAACAGTAAATTGGCAACCTTTAAATTATGCGACGTTAATCTAATATTTTATCACGTAAATTAGGATATCGAATTGCGTTGAAAAATATTCGCACAGTGATATTGACATTCTCGATCATTTCTTTAACAAATGTGGACGTTGGACGTTTCCTAAATGAAATTGATCATTTTGCAAAATGAGGATTTAATGTGCCTTGTAAAATATGTATTTATATTTCAAACAATTTGAATTTAAATTAAAATAAAAATGTCCCGTTCGCAATTCTTTAAAATTAACATTATCATTGTAATGAATACCATATTAGTACATTTATATGGCAAATAGAGTTAATAAGTTAGGATTAAACAATAATGTAAAGATAATGTAATTAATGATTAATTTTTAAAGGACCATATTTTGTATTTAATCAGATCATAAATTTGAATTGTACACAGAGAGAGTAGCAATCTTTGAAATAGAAATTTAAAAACAGAAACATATCTATAATACATTCTAAATTATATGATTTGAAAATATGCATTGCATTATACGTTGAATTCGAGGGTAACTTTTTCTGCATTTTTTATATAATTGTGCTTTTGCGTTTCAAAGAGTTCTATCAGTTGCTTTGTGAATTTGTCGTGATATGTGTTAATTTCTTCAGGTGTGGGGTCCGTTATTTTCGGCAGTTCAATAGGACTGCCAACTAAAATAAAGACAAACATGAGATGGAAAATGAATAATTATATTAAAAATAAGCAACTGTGAAAAATCGCACATAAAAAATTTTACCGACTACGGTGACAGGTAATCGCTTTGGAATAAGGCCAAATGAATACTGAAAGAATCCTCTGCCCGAGAAAACAACGGGTGCTAGTCCAATTAAACCACGAATATAGTTCTGTACGCGTCTGAACGTCGATCCTTCTGGACGATATATTTGATTGTACAAATCCGTTTCACCAAAAGATAAAACAGGAACCAATGATGTGCTGAATCAAGAAATTGCATTAGATTTGAGTTGCACTGAATACAATCATTATGAGTGTCTATTGTCCTACGCCGTAAGATCCATATTTTAAGGCTGTTCTACATATATTGTAATATCTATTGTAACGCTCATTGTAACACAGCTGTCGTAAGATCAGCAGAGTGAATTGTGATTTCAAAACAATGCTTCAAGTCTTAAATGTGTATACGAAGACAACGTTTACAAAAGATAAACGTATGTAGTTAATACACTAAAGTGACAATTTTACTGGACGACCACAAAGATAAATATTTTTTATAAATATTATCTTGAAGTCAGGCCATTCTGCTAAGACCCTAAGAATTGACGCAATTTAAACTTTGACGACGCTTGTTTAGTTATAATAGCCACTATAAATCGCCAAAAGCGGACATTCTGGCATAGTTTATGATAGAATTCGTGTGAATATGTGTCAAACATTAAATTCTATCACACAAATATAGATCATGTATGTTACATATGCAAATTTGTAAAAACAAAGTGTTCGATCACTCACCCGTGTTTTAGTGCTAATTTCACGAAGCCTTTTCTTCGTTTCACAAGGACACGATAAGTGCCCGGCGTAGATTCCATTGATTCGGAAGCACCACCAACGACGAGAAGTGTAGCTTTTCCGGTATATGGTCTTTTCGGCGGAGTTGATAGTAAATGCTTGAGGCTTCTCACGCTAGAAGCGCAGAAACCTGTGTGTAAAGATCATTATTGTATATTTTGGAAAAATGGCGGGTCAAATGATAATTATCGATTCATTTATACATAAAAAAACATCTCTTTCGAAGCACTCACACTTAAGTTATCGTTACAACAACGTATTAAATTGTTTCTGCTCAATGAAAACTTGGCGTGATATTCTTTATAGATAGGAAATATAACGTATATTAACATCTATTATTTATTTATATAATATTACATATTAAAGTAGAGCAAAAAATATCGAAAATATTTAATTGAAACAAAGCTTCTTGTTGATTTAACTGGCAATCTAATTCTTTTCTAAAAAAGAGCTGTTATCAGCGCGAAGTCGTTAATATCGAACAGTCGAGGCCTCTTTTCCGCGTTGCCAATTGGTTTTCTCGAAGCGCGGTGTGCTTCACTTCTCTTTTAGATTCGTAGTAAATGAAGATTTGCAATTTAGAAATATACATTTGTATAGGTAAATATGCAGAAAAGGTCACACCTCACCGATTTCCGGGGAATTACTCAGAAAACTCTCCCCTACAACATATCTAAGTGGCGAGGAAATCGGTGAGGTGTGACCTTTTCTGCATATTTACCTTTGTATACACCAACTATTGAGGTAAAATCTCTAATTAGTAATTAGAATTTAAGTAACAACGATTTTTGTTCCGATATATTTTCTCGATTGAACAGAATTAATAGTTAATTTAATCAATACCAATAAGTCCGCGGAATAATACGCAAAACGTAGCAACAGTCACGGAACAAAGTAATGTACAATAAAATATTAGGTACGGAATTTTCCATTGCGTAGGCAGGCCAACGAATTCTCAACGTTTTTTTGTTGTTTTTCACTCGGCACGGTATCGTACGATGATTAAGCGGGCCAACGAATTCTCAACTTTTTTTGTTGTTTTTCACTCGGCGCGGAGACGTACGATGTTTTTGCGTACACACCGTGTACTCGAAGGTCGCAGCGCTATCACTCGCTCGCTGAACGTCGCGCCGGCAGGCAGTGGCGAGAGTCGCTCCGTGCGTGTTATTACTTTTGCGTTATTTTACGTTATCGGTTTCCAAGACTCGATCGTGACGAACGAAGGGATAAAACGCTATTGATTTGCACACCTTTAGCCGTAACAAGTAACGTTCCTCGATTAATTATTGAGTTTCTACAATTTGTAATGAGAAACGAATTGCGTGCCCGCGCCGCTTCGCACACAGTATTATTTTTTCTTGATATGCGTTCGCGACAAGTGCGGGCAAAACCGCGATCGCTCTCTGCGAACAATCAGTGATTGATATCGTGCGATCGCTGAATTCCCGCGATTTGCCACTGCTCGATGTAATCGAACAGTTCGTAGTGGCAATCGGACTCAGTGACAATCGGACACGCTGAAAAAGAAGTGGCATTTGGATACAGTGTCAGTGACAAGTGACTTTACAAACGGAAGTGTAAATTCGCGAGTGTGTCGGCGCTACGTCATTTCTTGAAATCTGCGCTCGGTTTTCGGCCGAGGTGTTTACGATGCCGTACACAGGATTATTCACGCGGCGACAGTTAATCGAATCGATTGGTTATGTCCGCGCCGCTTCGCATATCGTATTATTCTTCCTTGATACGCGTTCGCGACAAGTGCGGGCAAAAACCGCGATCGCTCTCTGCGAACAATCAGTGATTGATATCATCGTGCGATCGCTGAATTCCCGCGATTTGTGTCAGCGATTTGTGCGGGTATCAGTGCGACGATGCAATCGAACAGTTCGTAGTGCGCAATCGAACTCAGTGACAATCGGACACAGTGAAAATCGAAAAAATGACATTTGGATGCAATGACAGTGACAAGTGACTTTACAAATGCAAGTACAAATTCGCGAGTGTGTCGGAGGACAGCTGAGACAACGACACCTAAGAGGAGGACATCTGATTGTGAGTGGAGGAGGAGGCATCGGGCGCCATTGCAGATACACTCCGCCGCTGCGCATCGTGTCGGTGAGTGAAAAGTTTTTTATTAAAGTAACGGAATCTACATTTTTAGATCGTAGATTGTAGATTGATTGACATTTCGTAGATTGATTTACATTTCGTAGATCCGTTACGTTAAAATGAATAGGTTACAAATAATTTTACGTTTTATTTAATATATTTCATTTATCGATAAAAAATGATATCATAGAGCTCTACCAATCAGAGTATGTTCAGCTCATTTGTTATGTTAAAAATCGCCGCGCTTTTAATTATCTGTCGATTTCGTGTAATCTGTTCCATTTTCGGGAAAAAAGAGAAATTTGTACGACTTCGCTCTGTCGTTCTTTGCAACTCAAACGGGCGGGAAGTAAAGAAAGTCGCTTATTGCACGTCGTTACATTATTTCTTTGCCGCAGATTATGCTTCCGATGCTTGCGTTGCGTTTTATATCGCCAATTCGAAAGTGATTTATCAGTTATTCTATTCTTCCGAATCAAAAATGCAAGTTGTTAGTTTGAGTAATTTGTATGACAGAAAGTCTTGGAAACCGATAACGCAAAAGTTAATAATATTTCGTGTGTTCGCGGTATTTCACATCGCGTACGGGAGTGCCGGAAATTTCGCGCGATCGATGATTTTTGCGAGTGAGTGTTGTGTGAGTGCAACAAAGAAATCTGAGAAGAGGAGGAGGCTGAGGAGGCATCGGGCAACGGCGGAGAAATCGTAAGGTAAGTTAGTGTCTTACATTTGTATGTTATTTAATTGTTACTTGTGCAAAATAAAGCACCTGTTCTGTGTTTTTATTTTATTTATTTAAATGATTCGAACGAGGAGTCGAATAAGTGTTAGAGACAAAACCAATGTATAAAATTTTGTGAATTTATATTTAAAAGGAAGACTTCTCAGTATTTTATATAATTATCTTAATAAATACCTATTTTTAAAAATATAAAATATGAATATTTAGTACAATAATTTCGATTTGACACAATTAGTCTATACTAATCATATACATATTTGTATTTTTACAGTTTAACATACATGATGTACAACTCTGCGGTTGCGAATCGTATCAGTGAGTGATAAATTACTTTTTATTTTAAATTGACGTTGCGCATATAATTACTTCTTTGCATGTATAGAAATTCTTAAAAATATACAATGCTCAACTACAAACTGCGCGCGCGAAGCGCGCGTTTGGTCATCTCTAGTTAACTAAATGTTACATTGGTACGACGTTTCGACCCAAGTATCAGGTCCTTATCAAGTAAAAGAACTTGCGCATAGATGACACTGACTTATGAGTCTACTATAGTTTATGCTCTGCGAACACCTAGGCGCAAGTTCTTTTCCTTGATAAGGACCGAATACTTGGGTCGAAACTTCTCACCAAGGTGACATTTAATTAATTATATTGCCTGTTCGATTAACAAGAAATTTTGTTTCAATTTTTATTCATCGCCGGTGATTTTTTAAGTATGCGTCTCTAATTTGATTGAAAGTATTTTACCTAAAGAATAAACATATTCTCTGATTAAAGGCACTTTGAAGTGTTGATCGAGAGTAATGGGATGTATTTCTAGTCCGGGAAATAATTTCTTGCAATCCATTGCGTCCGTTGCGAATGAACCCACTATTCCCATCGACAAAATGCCATGAGGTACACAAATAAAAAGATAAGACTTATTGGGATTTAGGTTCACCGTTTTCACTAATTTTAACGGAAAATAATTGCAAAAATAACGCCAAAATACGTTGTTTCTCACTACTTTTGTCAATAATTCACTGAAATGTAAGATATACCTAGTTAGTTTTTAAACATTAATAATTGTTATTCCTATAAGGCTTTTTATCGCAATTATAATATTATTTTTTTGTATCAGATTCAATGAAAATTGTAACAGATATTTCTTTATTTACTGCATTAAGGAATTGTCTTCGAGCAAATAATGAAAATTTTTTATTCTTACGTTGTTGACTACTTAAGTGGGCACCTCGTATAACAGGTAAAAAAAATTGAATTTTTTTGTTTAATTTTCTATTTTAACATGTTAAAAATGTTCCTTAAGTTTTAAAACGAAATTTGAAAATTAACAATAGATGGTTTTACTAAATAAGCATCAGGCAGGTAGAGCGACAAGTGTACAGTCACTTTCCTTAATCCCTTGGAATATAATAGGCACCAAAAATAGCTGAAATATTTTGACCTGTGTCTGTATTTTTACTCGGTTACTATGTTGCCGTAACTTTCTATGTCTACTCTATAGAGACATAGTTCGTGATCCTTTGTACAGTTATAATGGTGTAACAGTTTACATCTTTTGAAATACATTCTGCTTTTGAGACACAGTCTTTGTGAAATTCGGCTCGTAAAAATATAGCAGTTTGAAGCGTGAGTTTGAATATTTCTCTGAAAGTTAATAAAAAGATACTTTTATAATGATAATGTTTAATTAAATTACTTTTATTACATAATTAACCTGAAAATTTTTCGTTAGAATTACTATGTTTTTAAGTTGTGATTTTTACAATTTTGCGTTATTCTTTTAATCTAAAAATAGGTTCGATTAATGCGTAAACTCATAAAGAGGAAAATCCTCTTGCATTTTCTATTTGAGATGAATCCGTACGGCGCTATATTGCACACTGCTAGACGACTCTAACATTGACGCGTTGAGCAAATATTATTATAATTTCTATAATAAATGTTTTTCTGCCAAAATACTATTTTTTGTTACTTTAATAGTGTAATAAAATTTTAATTTCAAAGTAATAGATCGTGTAATTTCCTTTAAAAAAAGAATTGTGAATTATCAAATTTTGAGCGTGTTACGCGAGGTGCCCCTGTTAACAGAGATTAATACAATATTACGTTCTTCCACCACGGTGACAAGTGTCCCAATCGTAATACATCCAGAGGAAATATAGTAGGAGGAAGTATCGTGTTATGTCTGTGTAGAGCAGAAGATAGGCCGTGATTAAGTATCCCCAAGCATCACCAAAAGCTGAGACAATAACCCATGTCGCAGCGGCTAATGTTTGTAGTCTTTTTTCCAGAGGTACATTTAGTGGTACAAATTTCACGCCCAAAATTTTCATGTTTCTACCTAAGAATTATTCGAGTCCAAAGTATTGTAGAAATCCAAGTCTTTTTTTTAACTCCTACACTATAATACCTGTGGATAAAAATAAGTATACTAGAAAAGTTGTATCTTTTCTTTTAATTAAATAAGTCAGATTGTTAATTCTATCAATTGAAAATCTCACATAAGTTGACACTTTATCAAATAATTTATTCAACCTAGTTTTTATTCTTGTAAAAAGTGGATCTTGTATTTGTATGTTCATTCTTCAGAATCACAAGAGACGCAATTTATTATTCTTGAATACTTCTCTATGAATATCATTCATATTTATGTAACTACTATTGTGTTCAACAAGTATGGTTATTATAGCTAAACTTCTATTTAAAATACATTTGTCTGTATATTTAAAAATAAATTGCTGTCACCGTTTTCCTATCTAATTATGAATGAGCTAGAAGTGTATTCTTGCTTTTTTTAAAACAAAATTTAATTTTAGTATAACTAGTTTTCGGCGACATACGTATAGACAAACGTATTTTTACGAATAAACAAAATATATAAGACGGCAAATAATAAAATATCGCTACACTTTATTAAAATTTTCTTTTAGTGTATTTGTGAAATTAATTTATTGTTCTTAAATAAATTAAATTCACTTTTTCGAATGCATGCAATGTCATTCAGAAACACATACCCTACCACACTTTGAAATAACACATGCCGATTCACGCGAAAATCATTATCTATTTTAAATATAAAACTATAATTATAAATTTAAATCTAATCTATTATAAAAGATAAATAAAAATGCAGACGATGCTTTTTTTTAATACTAATTAAAAATTTTCTCAACAAAGAGAGTTCGAATTTTCTCGAACTTCATGCTGTTCAGATCTTTTAAAATTATAGGTAAATGTATCCAAATCCAAAACTGATAAATTGTGTTGGAGAGAGAGAGAGAGAGAGAGAGAGAGAGAGAGAGAGAGAGAGAGAGAGAGAGAGAAATAAAATAAAAACTCATACTTTTCGCTTCGCAACAAACAGCTATTTTCATTCAAATTTTCCTTCGCGTTCAAGTTATTCGAACAATCAAATCTTTTATTATTGGAAAGCAAGTTTAAGGCACATTGGTTTCGTAGGCACTATGCGTTCTGAAGCTTCTGAACAGTTAGATCACTATAATATTCACTGTTTTCCGCATTTTACTTATACTTGCAGATCAAGCTGTAACTATGAAATTCCATGTTGCACACTTTTTTTCGGTACGGCATCCAGATAGGTAGTTATTTCCTACAGAATAGATAATAATCGTGCCGCGGTCTTTATAATACAGTAATAGTAAATATCTCTTTGGAAGTGGCAAACGTTCTTATGTGCTTTATTGTTAGGTTTCATCGAAAGAATGTGGAAGGAGCGTATATTGTATGGTATATGAATACACGTATCAATAACATGCCCATTTATCAGTTACGAGACTCTAATATTTATGATTTAAAGTGAACGTTGCTTGCGTTCTAATTTGACATTTGACATCACAGTATGATGGCTCTTTGAGATTATGTAATCTCATTGGAGAAAAATTAGAATCTAGTATAACTAATTGTATCGAATAAAACAATGTTGTTAATATAAATCGTAATGTCATAGTATTTATTTATTTATGTTTTAGATTTTAGAGTAATAAATCGATTCCATTTGTTCGACAAACACATGATCTCGAAATTTTGTTTGATTTTTAATTTTGTAATTTATCAAAATTAAAACAAATTATTGCTAAACCTTAAGGTGGTTGTACCATGACTCCATAAGTCTAAATAAAGTTCATTTAATAAACATCACAATATATATAAAATTTTTCTATCCAATATTAATAATAAAAAAATGTGTGATGTTATAATGACAAAAATGATAAAATGCATAATAAGAAGAAAAATAAATTAATCTTTGTATTACATAGTGAAAGTATAAATAAAATCGTGGCAACGTTGTCTTTCAATTAGAGTGAGAGCGAGAGAGATTAAATAATATCAAGCGAAGAAAATCTTCCTTTACGAAATAAAGGTATATTTATTAGCAACAAAACAATTATTAAAGAAAGAAAAATGCAGAACAGCTACGGTTAGAAGGTGGCAAGAAAAGCGTAATCTCATTTTTGGTGATAGACGAGTTGTGTTTAACCTATGCATTGAAAAGCGCATCGTTAATTTGAGCATTTTGTGATAAAACATAAAGTATAATAATTGGCGATACCGCGCCATGTAGCATATGTAGATGCGAGTAAGCTTAGCATACGTG